GTTGGTTTTCTCAAAGCGGTCGAGCCTGTTTTCACAATCAGAATCAGAATCAGAATCAGAATCAGAATCTGAATCTGGGTTTATAAGTACATTTACACATAGAAGGAATATGACTTGGTGTATTGGTGCTGAACAATTAACAAGGAAATAAAGCAGAACTAGCAACAACTTAAATAACACAGAATAAGAAGATATTACAATATATAAAATAGAATTTAAAAATGTAAAATATAAAATATAAAATGTAAAATATAAAATGTAAAATATAAAATGTAAAATATAAAAAATAAAATATAAAAAATAAAAAACACAAAATGTACAAAAGGTGCAATGTAGGAGCTGTGCAGTGGACTATGAGAAACAATCTTAGTGTGTCTAACTACTCACAGAGTGCATGTAAAGAAGATACATTTTTAAAGTCCAGTGGGCGTTGACGTAACGCATAATAATAATAACAATAATAACAATAATAATAATAATAATAATAATATTATAGCAATTATAATCTTTCTGTGTCAGATGTAACACCTACAGCAAAAGACACAGATGTTTACATTTTTTCTGCAGAAAACAAAATGAAGCAAACACTCACATGTGTCTCTGAGCCTGTATGATGGCGTTTACATCTTCAGAGTTGACCATGCTCAGCATCCTGTTACAGAACACGCCTGATGCTGTGGGCTCCACCATGATGAGGACCAGGATGTAAAAGATGTAGAAGCTGTCCTGAATTTAAAAAGAAAAAGTTGTTTAGAGAGCACAATAATATAAAAATCAGTATTAAACCTCAGCCAATAGGAGAGCTTCACCACAGAACTGATGGATGTGTTGCACCAGAACTCGTCCATCTTCACTTTTATTAAAGAAATGCCCCACAAGCTTTGTTTGTCAGCCTACACACATCTCTGTCTCCTTCACACACACCTCTGTCTCCTTCACACACACCTCTGTCTCCTTCACACACCTCTGTCTCCTTCACACACACCTCTGTGTCTCCTTCACACACACCTCTGTCTCCTTCACACACATCTCTGTCTCCTTCACACACACCTCTGTCTCCTTCACACATCTCTGTCTCCTTCACACACACCTCTGTCTCCTTCACACACACCTCTGTCTCCTTCACACACCTGTGTCTCCTTCACACACACCTCTGTGTCTCCTTCACACACACCTCTGTCTCCTTCACACACATCTCTGTCTCCTTCACACACACCTCTGTCTCCTTCACACATCTCTGTCTCCTTCACACACACCTCTGTCTCCTTCACACACCTCTGTCTCCTTCACACACACCTCTGTGTCTCCTTCACACACACCTCTGTCTCCTACACACATCTCTGTCTCCTTCACACACACCTCTGTGTCTCCTTCACACACACCTCTGTGTCTGCTTCACACACACCTCTCTGTCTCCTTCACACACACCTCTGTCTCCTTCACACACACCTCTGTCTCCTACACACATCTCTGTCTCCTTCACACACACCTCTGTGTCTCCTTCACACACACCTCTGTCTCCTACACACATCTCTGTCTCCTTCACACACACCTCTGTGTCTCCTTCACACACACCTGTGTCTGCTTCACACACACCTCTGTGTCTCCTTCACACACACATCTCTGTCTCCTTCACACACACCTCTGTGTCTCCTTCACACACACCTCTGTGTCTCCTTCACACACACATCTCTGTCTCCTTCACACACACCTCTGTGTCTCCTTCACACACATCTGTGTCTCCTTCACACACACCTCTGTGTCTCCTTCACACACACATCTGTCTCCTTCACACACACCTCTGTCTCCTTCACACACACCTCCCTGTCTCCTTCACACACACCTCTGTGTCTCCTTCACACACACATCTCTGTCTCCTTCACACACACCTCTGTGTCTCCTTCACACACACCTCTGCCTCCTTCACACACACCTCTGTGTCTCCTTCACACACACCTCTGTCTCCTTCACACACATCTCTGTCTCCTTCACACACACCTCTGTGTCTCCTTCACACACACCTCTCTGTCTCCTTCACACACACCTCTGTGTCTCCTTCACACACACCTCTGTCTCCTTCACACACACCTCTGTGTCTCCTTCACACACACCTCTGTCTCCTTCACACACATCTCTGTCTCCTTCACACACACCTCTGTGTCTCCTTCACACACACCTCTCTGTCTCCTTCACACACACATCTCTGTCTCCTTCACACACACCTCTGTGTCTCCTTCACACACACACCTGTCTCCTTCACACACACATCTCTGTCTCCTTCACACACACCTCTGTGTCTCCTTCACACACACCTGTGTCTCCTTCACACACACCTCTGTGTCTCCTTCACACACACATCTCTGTCTCCTTCACACACACCTCTGTGTCTCCTTCACACACACATCTCTGTCTCCTTCACACACACCTCTGTGTCTCCTTCACACACATCTCTGTGTCTCCTTCACACACACCTCTCTGTCTCCTTCACATACATCTCTGTGTCTCCTTCACACACACCTCTGTGTCTCCTTCACACACACCTGTGTCTCCTTCACACACACCTCTGTGTCTCCTTAACACAAATCTCTGTGTCTCCTTCACACACACCTCTGTGTCTCCTTCACACACACCTGTGTCTCCTTCACACACACCTCTCTGTCTCCTTCACATACATCTCTGTGTCTCCTTCACACACACCTCTGTGTCTCCTTCACACACACCTGTGTCTCCTTCACACACACCTCTGTGTCTCCTTCACACACACCTCTGTGTCTCCTTCAAACACACCTGTGTCTCCTTCACACACACCTGTCTCCTTCACACACACCTCTGTGTCTCCTTCACACACACCTCTGTGTCTCCTTCACACACACCTCTGTGTCTCCTTCAAACACACCTGTGTCTCCTTCACACACACCTGTCTCCTTCACACACACCTGTGTCTCCTTCACACACACCTCTGTGTCTCCTTCAAACACACCTGTCTCCTTCAAACACACCTGTGTCTCCTTCACACACACCTGTCTCCTTCAAACACACCTGTGTCTCCTTCACACACACCTGTCTCCTTCACACACACCTGTCTCCTTCACACACACCTCTGTGTCTCCGTCACTGAGCCTCTCTTAAAGGGCCAGTGTCTTAATTATTAATTAATTAAAGGTAGATAAAATAAAACACACAGTATTTACTGTTTAAATTTAAATTAACTTAAATACTTCTGGAAATTAAATTAGTTTAACTTGACACGCTGATGAAACAAAATGACAGAAAAAAAAATGTAAATATGAAAAATCATTTTCAGCGTGTTACAGATTCATTAATTTATTCAGAGCCGTAACATGTAAATATATTTATAAATAGTAGAGGAGCGATAAACATCCTCTTATCTACCTCAGTGTCCACGTCAAATGATTACGTAGCCGTCTGGATGTTTTGTTAACCCGACACAGAAATGCAGATTTCTTCACTTACAGCTGACAGTACAGGGAGGACAAAAACAAAGCACTTCCTTGTTTTGTTGACTTCCGGTCGCATGACTTTCTTCTTCTTCCTCTTTTTGGATTGGCAGACTAGACACAGCATCGGCGTATGGCTGCCCCCTACAGTCTGACGCCGTTGGTACAGTCCAGTGGAATAAAGAAATTCCAGCATTATTTGAGTTTTCTCTCAGACTCAGTGAGAAAGCAGGTTGAGAGTTTGAAGATTGTTTCAGCCAGGTGAGCTACAGTTTCTTTCTTACAGAAGAGGATTAGGGTCACTGAAAAATAATAATTTGGTTCTGATTTTCTTTTTTTCTGACTTTATTCTTAAAATTCTGAGAATAAAGTCAGAATTTTAAACAAAATTCAGAACAATTTTTTTTTTTTTTCAGTGGCCCTAATCCTCTTCCGTGCTTTCTTTGTTCTGAGAAGAGCACTGACTGTCTCTATCTGTCCACACTGACGCTTCCCATCAGGATGTTTTTAGCCCACTCTTAAATCCACATTGTCCCAATCTCAACCTCAGCAACTTCACCTGGTCCTTTCTGTTCTCTGTTCATCTCCTTACACCGGCTCCCAGTTACTGCTCGCATCAGATTTAAAACTCTGCTGCTCGTTTACAAAACAGACACAGAAACATCTCCTCACTTTAACTCTCTGATCCAGGTCTACACTCCCTCCCCCCTCTACGCTCTGCCAATGAAAGGCGTCTGATCCAACCTTCACAACAGGGTCCTAAGTCTCTGACTAGACTCTTCTCCTCTGTCGCCCCCCGGTGGTGGAATGAACTTCCAAACTCCATTGGATCTGCAGAGTCCCTCTGCACCTTTAAGAAAAAGCTAAAGACCCAGCTCTTTCATGAATACCTACTAACTTAATGATGATGGTCTCCATATTATTGATGATGATGATGGTAATGACGATGGTTTTTGTTTGATAACGATGACTTATAAGATGGTTTCTATACTGATTAGAGCTCTCAAGAACTGCCCTCAATGTTGTGCTTTGCCTCTGGTCACTTCCTGTCAGCACCTGTGTGTCCAATCAGACTCAAAGCTGATCGTTTGCTCTTACTGACATTGTTCCCTTTTTTCTAGATCCTTGCTTGTGTTGTTCTTACTCTCTGATGTACGTCGCTTTGGATAAAAGCATCTGCTCAGTGAATTGTAGAATTGTAGGTTTTAGGCGCCCAATGTGTTACAGATGGTTGAATATAAGTGTCTGCCTTTGTGTTCCCTGTTTCCCACACTTTTTGCCATAACTTGGTGATTGCTAAACTGGATTATTGAAAATATTTCCATCACGGCAAGAGCAGGAGGAGTTTGCTCAACATTTTCCTTCTGCAAAGCAGGTTGAGAGTTTGAAGATTGTTTCAGCCAGGTGAGCTACAGTTTCTTTCTTACAGAAGAGGATTAGGGTCACTGAAAAATAATAATTTGGTTCTGGTTTTCTTTTTTTCTGACTTTATTTTTAGAATTCTGAGAATAAAGTCAGAATTTTAAACAAAATTCAGAACCAAATTTTTTTTTTCAGTGGCCCTAATCCTCTTCTGTACTTTCTTTGTTCTGAGAAGTGCACTGACTGTCTCTATCTGTCCACACTGACGCTTCCCATCAGGATGTTTTTAGCCCACTCTTAAATCCACATTGTTCCAATCTCAACCTCAGCAACTTCACCTGGTCCTTTCTGTTCTCTGTTCATCTCCTTACACTGGCTCCCAGTTACTGCTCGCATCAGATTTAAAACTCTGCTGCTCGTTTACAAAACAGACACAGAAACATCTCCTCACTTTAACTCTCTGATCCAGGTCTACACTCCCTCCCCCCACTACGCTCTGCCAATGAAAGGCGTCTGATCCAACCTTCACAACAGGGTCCTAAGTCTCTGACTAGACTCTTCTCCTCTGTCGCCCCCCGGTGGTGGAATGAACTTCCAAACTCCATTGGATCTGCAGAGTCCCTCTGCACCTTTAAGAAAAAGCTAAAGACCCAGCTCTTTCATGAATACCTACTAACTTAATGATGATGGTCTCCATATTATTGATGATGATGATGGTAATGACGATGGTTTTTGTTTGATAACGATGACTTATAAGATGGTTTCTATACTGATTAGAGCTCTCAAGAACTGCCCTCAATGTTGTGCTTTGCCTCTGGTCACTTCCTGTCAGCACCTGTGTGTCCAATCAGACTCAAAGCTGATCGTTTGCTCTTACTCACATTGTTCCCTTTTTTCTAGATCCTTGCTTGTGTTGTTCTTACTCTCTGATGTACGTCGCTTTGGATAAAAGCATCTGCTCAGTGAATTGTAGAATTGTAGGTTTTAGGCGCCCAATGTGTTACAGATGGTTGAATATAAGTGTCTGCCTTTGTGTTCCCTGTTTCCCACACTTTTTGCCATAACTTGGTGATTGCTAAACTGGATTATTGAAAATATTTCCATCACGGCAAGAGCAGGAGGAGTTTGCTCAACATTTTCCTTCTGTATTGTTTTTTTGTATTCTTTTTCATCTTGATGAACATCACCGTCACATCCTCACCTGATAGGTCTGACGTTGTGATTAAATGAGGAACAAAGTATTTAAAACGCTCCGGTACATTTAAAGGTGTTACAACTCTGAGGCATCAATTATTTTCCTTTTCCTGCTAGTTTATACTTCTGCTCCTTTACTTCTGATAACACAACTATATTTTCAGATTCACATTAATGATACAAAATATAATAACAAATCATGTATACTTCATTAAGGTTGATCTTTTTTAGGCTGCTGGATAATATAACTGTGGGCTACAAAGCAGTTCAATAGTTGAAGCTAGCTCTGACTTTACCAGCTGTAACACTAAAGTGATGACTGCATGTATGCATCTATTATTTTAATGCAATCATATAAATCATGTAATTCTATTGTGAGCCTTTTGCATAGTGGTAAATTTAACTTCTTATGGTAAAAACATGTTATTCCTATAAAATAAAGAAATCTGTGAAGAAAACTGTCTAATCATGTTTTATTGTAAAACTGATAAATCTATGCTGTCCTTCATCTTTCATTTATATTCTATTTACTTACATCAGAGCAGCTCTAATGTCATATATGACACAAACATTAAAAATATGTCTGACTAAATCACATCAAGTCAATCATTTATAACTCCATTATGTGCTGGACTAAGTTTATAAATTCATTTTAATCGTTGATGTCAATAAACTGAGTGACTCCATACTTCAAGAAAAAACTCACAAAATTACTTTTATTAAGGGACAAGTAAAAAAAGTACATGATGTATAAAAAATACAAAACTGCTTTTGTCTAACTTGTAAGCTAAGTAAATGCATAGCAACAGTACATGCACGTCTAGAGTTAGGTAACGTATTTAAGCTACAGGCTAAAAGGGAAAAGGTACAGTTTGGTTGCATCTATCATTCGTTTCAGTCTACGTGGTACAAATCCAAAAGTAATGGCTGCAGAATAAGTTAGGTTGCACGCAACTCAACCGATGAAGAAAATAAATACTTAACAACATTTCACAAATATTGACAACCAGTAATTCAACGCAATGTTAAAACGAAGCCTGCGAGAGAATTACATTCGATTTCGGATGTACAAAACCCGCTCCCCACTACTACAAACAAGCTAAAGATGAAAATAATTCATAGCATTACACTTCTAAGTGAAGATGCAGTGATACAAATAAATATGAAATAAATAATGAAAAACCAATATAGGAGCCTTGTGGCACCACCCCCTTATGTACATAACTACCTGTTCTTCCAGCTACAACATCACATGTATGAAATTACACATTAGTGTTCATTTAAAATACCATAAACATACATACAAACGACCTCGGACAAGCACAAGTGTCCATAGAAAACCTGCATTGATTTGACATTGGGTGAATTTCAATGTGCTTTGGCTTTAATTTGATAAATAAAGTAATATTAGGCTTTATATCACAACACACATTTGTGGTATATAAGAGGCAATGGCATAGAATTTCAGCTTGTACAAAGTTTATTTAATCCATATACTGACCCGGGAATGAAGGGAATCACTGATGTTTAGATTGGTGAATGACTATAGACCGATTCTGTGTTTTTTTGCTGTTGTATTGTGTGGTATTATTATGCAAAGACACTTTTTAATTCTTGCTTTTTGTTACATATAAAAATAAGTTCAAACTTCAGAGAAAGAGATCGACAACAACCAAAAAAATAAAAGTAAAAATTACAGTTTATATAAGGCCATGCAATTTTTTAGGAGACTCATGCATCAGATCGTTAGGTCGTCTGGATGAGTGGGCTTTCCATTCATGCAAAATGCACTAAGTGTTGCTGAGGCCACAATAAATATAGCTACTGTCCCTTTTTTGTTCCTTAATACCAATCCAGAATTAACACTAGCACTGTCTGTAACACATTATTAAGGCTGGTGTATTTGCTGTTGAAGCTGTGAAAGGCCTTATTCAGCCAGGACTCACATACTTATTTGGACACAGAGACACTAATCCAGTCTACAAAACACAGAGTCTTTGATAGGAGTGGATGTCAAAAGTGGAACGACAAACACTGGGGGCTACTGTACAGATCTGCGCTCTGTCAAAGTGTCATTCATTCCAAAACGAGTTCTCCACAACTTTAAAAAAAAAAAAGAGATATTTACTCTTCACAAAGAAAGCTAAATGAATCTCATTTCTGTATATTAGTCATCTTATCATATACTGTATGCGTATAAAATATCCTCATTGATAATGATTGAACTAGTCGTTTTAAATGTTGAGAGATGAATTTCAAGTAGCACCTTTTTTTTTATAACTGAGTGGATCTATTGCGTTTTGGAATAAAATCTTTTTTTTTTTTTTAAATGTACCAGCAAAAGTCGAGCTCCAGCATTTCATCTAAAGCCGATCAGTGACATCACAGATGATGGTCCATGACAAGGATGATGAGAATATTAAAGACAAAAAAAAAGAGGAAACAAAACAGTCCAATAAGTTACCATTTAAAAGAATAACAAACAAACCTTTGACATTGGAATACAGAAAATGACCAAAGGATTTCCAGCTGCTTTGTGACTGAAGGCAATCTGAGGCGACCTCTTCTTTAAGTGCTTGGAAAAAAACAAAACAAAAAACAACGCACCCCAACATTTCTTCAGAGATGTGTGCAACGCGGGACGTTTTTCCTCTTCACCAGCCTTCCTCCACCAGTGCCCCCCTCATGGTTGGAGCGGTTGTCACGGTAACACACAGCTGAGGGGGCTCTTTCTGGAACATCAGGGTCTCCTTCACTTCCTCTTCTGTCGTGGATTTCTGCCCGCTCACATCCGCGACCCCCTCCTCCACTTCTTCCTCCTTGCGGCAGCACGGTTTGAACAAATGGGGGTCGATGAGGACCTCTCCAAAGCGCCCCTTGTAGATTATTCCACAGCACACTTTCTGCCTGAGCAAAAGCATGAAAAAAAAACCGAATTTAATTAAAGTGAATCATGTAACAGTGGACCAATAGTTTCAGTATTGTTCACAGTAGATGTACAGGTCAACATGTGTAGGAACATATTGAACACTGTGCGCTCTCAAGTTTATTTGAGGACCTCTCCAAAGCGCCCCTTGTAGATTATTCCACAGCACACTTTCTGCCTGAGCAAAAGCATGAAAAAAAAACCGAATTTAATTAAAGTGAATCATGTAACAGTGGACCAATAGTTTCAGTATTGTTCACAGTAGATGTACAGGTCAACATGTGTAGGAACATATTGAACACTGTGCGCTCTCAAGTTTATTAAAAAGGAAATATTTGAGTCACAGATCCTATCTGAAATATAATACTGATATTTTTTTTTTTTATCCAGCTTCCACAAGTGTTAAGATAAGAGAAGATAATCCTTTATTTATCCCACAAGGGGAAATGTACATTGTTACAGCAGCAAAGAGCAAAGATTGCAAACAGAAAGTGAACACAACAATTTAAATAAAAAAAGAAAAATTAATAATGTACAAAAAATAGATACTAAAAAATTGATTTAAAAAAATTAAAAAAATAGATCAGCTGAGCTGCAGTTTTGACAAAAATGTAGTCCGTAATATTCAGTGTAACACAGACATGCACACAGTGCACATAAAGTGTAACATGTTATTGCACAAAGTGGATTGGTAAACATAATATAACATTATTATTGCACAGAGTCAGAGTGAATTGTCCAGGTGTGTGTGTGTGTGTGTGTGTGTGTGTGTGTGTGTGTGTGTGTGTGTGTGTGTGTGTGTGTGTGTGTGTGTGTTTTGTGATCTACTGGGAGCAGGCTTGGTTAAACAGTCTGACTGCAGCAGGAATGAAGGACCTGCGGTTAAGTTATCAACACAAAAAATAATTGAATACTAAAAGCTGCCTGGAGCAGTGACGCAGTATAAATGAGGTCTTTAGTAAAAAGCCAAAAAAATACAAAAAAAACTTGAGCTTGTGTTTTAAATAGGGGGAGCAGTTTCAAACAGCAGACTGGTTATACATTTCAACATCAACTAGTGGAGCATGTCGTGTTGCAGAGTCATCGTTTAATTAACCTAGTGTGACACACAAAACGTTTAAAGCGCTCTAAAATACTATTCAACTATGGAATAGAATAGAATTACTGTATTGATCCCAAACTGGGAAATTGTGGCGTTACAGCAGCAGGTTATCAAATAAAACAATATAAGAATAGATACATAAATAAGCACTAAGGGGGGCTATCTAGAGGGGAAAGGGGGATCGGGGGATTTCCTGACGTAAATAAACAGCGTGGAAGTAACGGCTGTACTGCTGTGACGAACAGAAAACAGAATGCAGACGTTTAATTAGAGCACGGAGATCGTAGAGGTCGCGTGCAGACACTTTAAACAGTCACTGTATATAAACGTTATTCTCTTTCTATTGGCTCCAGTTGAAATCTCCGGAGTATATGCTGCTGCGTTCAGACATCACTCAGATTTTCTGTGGATAAATACTCGAGGTCTGGAGGAGAAACTCTGAAGGGTAAAGTCTGCGTGAAAAATGCGTCTGTTTGCGTTCACACACAGCCTAAAGCACCTCCAGGTAGACTAATCTACAGAGTTTTTCAGGAGATTTCTGTATGTGTGAAAAGGGTTTATATGTGTTTTTGTCCTGAGATCAGTTATTGCTCTTGGAACATTTTTCACATCTATTATCAGGCATGAGAAATGAATACATAAATTATTATGAGGAATGGAAAAAGAAAAACTACTTTTGCCTTCACTCTATAGAAGGATGCTTCAACCTCTAAATTTGCTACCGGGCTGAAAAACTTGCTCTCTGATTTTTTTTCATGCCGTGCTGTAACATATGTGTGTCATAAACCAGCTTCAGTGTTTCATTGTGTACCTGAAATAAGTAGAACAGTGACTCACCTCTTCCAGTACGTTAGGTCTAGGAATGAGAAAACAGGAGAGCGGCTGGATCCCGGGCTGAGCTCGGCGTCGGAGCCGTCGTCTGACAGGTTGCTGTAACTGGGAGACTGAGCTGGAGAGGCACTGGAGGTGGTGCTGTGAGCATCTGAGTCTGAAGAGCACAACATGGTCACACACATATTCAGGTGTTTCAGGAACAGGTGCATCATGTCAACTGAGTTACTGATTGCCAAAAAATCAACAGAACTGACTGTTTCTTTTGAGCTCTTTTTGCAGCCTGCTGATCTGGCTCGGCCGGTCTTTCTTGGAGATGGATTTGATCTTCTTGGGCCTGGAAGTGATCTTTAGGCTGGGACCTCCTCGGGCATCGACCACCTGCGGGGAGGATGAACGACCACAAAATAATTAGTTAGCATAAATTAAATGTAAAACTAACTTGATTAAAGGCTTTATATGTGATGTTTCGATCCAGCAGGTGTCGCCCTTGAGCTCCAGCATGAACCCAAAACAACTCACGCTGCATTGTTGTGTTAGCATGCTAATGCTAGCGATCTTTATCATGCTGGTATCTTCACACTGCATGTAAATTTACCTGAAATGAGCGTGATCTAGAAACACAGTTAAGCAGTGAGTACAGTATGTTATTCTTCTTTTCTCTAGTCCCTCAATTAAACAACTTTTATACACGAGGGGAGGAGTCAGCCGGCCGTCCGGGCGATGTAAACAAACTGAAGATAGGACTCTGAAAACTCTGAAAACATCACAGACAGTGGGACTCGGGTGTTACACCCATTGTAGACAGTCATGACTCACAGAGTTATTTTCAGAGGATATACTTGATTTATATTTAAGTGTGACAAATCACATAGAAAGACTTTAAATAATAATTAAAGTATAATATCAGCAGGCCTTCTGATCCAAACTCACATGGTTCCAGTTCTTCTTGGTTCCCACAGGAAGCTTTTTCCATCGTTTCACCAGGAGAACACAGGCATTACAGATTTCTCCTGATCTTGTTTCGTTCAGTCTGCAAGATAATCACAGTTAGTGGAGAAGGGGACACAGGGAGGGGGCACATGTCTACCTTCAAACCCCCACATGTTCACATGTTCACCTGCACATCTTACCCAAAACAGCTCCTGAAGTCTTTCTCATAGCGCCTGCTGTCCGTAAAACGAGAGCTTGACGACTTGGCGCGACAGATGCAGCAGCCGTCCAAACTCCTGTACATTTTTGGCTTATGAAAGCCAAACATCTGCGAGCCAAAACATGAATCAAATATTAACATCTCAGCCTCTCATCAGTGTGCGTGATGTGCTTACTGCACCAGCCTTACATTTCTGGCTCAGACCGTTTGTGATATCCTCTATCCTATTATACAAGCCAAATGTGTGTTCATAATAATAAAAACGGGTGTTTTGTCACGCTCGGTGCAGGGAAAAGCGATTTTAATAGAGCCTCCCACCGCTTTGACCCACATGAGGGGGAAGTAGGTCAACAGTCAGACAGCGTGTCAGACAGATCATGTCACCATGCTGAGCTCACAGGATGCACGCTTTCATTTTTGGAAACTCAAAATATAAGCACGCACAGCCCCGATCCTCCAGGCTGCACATGATGGATTATATCAAACAAACTTCCAAAATGTGAGGATTCATTTCAGGAACATTTCAAAATATATGGGCTACACGTATGGAAGAAAAATCCCTCGAAATTGAATAGGCGTCAATAAATGTGCATGAGTTGTAATTTGTGTTGCTAGGCAAAATGTAATTTCCACAGCACATGTGGATCTGAACTGCGGCAAAACTGTGAGCCGCGCCCCCCAGACTGGGCTTTTTTTTTTTTTTTCTTGCCATCAGTCCTAGGGGTCTTCTGACAGTGCGGTGCCACAGAGAGCTCAGACAGAGAGCGGGAATATTTAAAGAGCTCTCACTCTGCTAATTATATCAGATACTGCTTAATGTGGGGCACTAAGGGGGATATATGGGATTTTAAATAAGTATCTATGTATGTATGTAGTATGAGGATGACTATAGGTTACAAGAGATGAAGAATTATGCTATAAGTAATTTTCAGAGGTAATAAATCTTACGTCGTTATAAAGGACACCAAGTGTAACCCTATTATTTTTCATGGACATCAATATCTATTGCATTATATATTCTATGTGTCGTATTTTATTTTTATATATTTTTTTTTATTCTTATTGGTGTGCATTTCTCTCAATGATTTTATAAACTACTTTTTATCAATAACTTTTCTGCACTCTTCTAAAGCACTTTGAACTGCAATTTAATTTGTGAGAGAGGTGCTGTATAAATAAAGTTTGATTGATTGATTGATTATTATCACTAAAGTAATTGAAATTATACACACATTTAGTATGAAAGCGACAGATTTATTGCACCAACACTCAATAAAAATATATGCATGTTTAACATACATAGGCCTTTAAATTGTAGCTGTATGACGAGAAGTGCAAATAAAGGTTATAAGTTATAGATGGAAAAATAAATAAAGGAAAATTGTATTTTCGTGGTATTAGAAGGCAGCAGAACAATAACAGAAAAAAAATAGTAGTCACATATCAAAGTCGTAGATTTAAAAAAGTAAAACATACCCAAAACTAGACATATACAATCAGAAGGTGATTTAATAAACCCTCCATAACCCTCCGTGTTGTTGGGTTCTTGTGTTTCCTGGGTTCTTATGATGGTTCTTGTGATGGTCGGGTTCTATATGTCTGTTGGGTATCGTGCACTTTGGGTTCTTTTCTGTTGAATTGTATTTAATTATTTTTTAGTATTTAGTATTTGTTATGTTCTTGCTGTTGTTTATGTTCTTCTGTGTTTGGTTTAATTTGTTCTTGTTTTTGCTGTTTGTCAAAACACTTTGTAAACCTGTGTTTTATAAATAAAGTTATTATTATTATTATTACTACAATACATATCTGAAAATGTGACATAAACAACACTGTAGTGTCAGCCCGGTGTTTGGTAGGCTGCTGAACAACATGCTCAGCGTGAAGTGTGTCATCTGTAAAGCATAGACGATCTCTGCAGCAGAATACAGTACGTGACGCAACTCAACATGGCAACACACTTCAAAGGCGGAGGCAATGTGGAGAAGGGGGTGTGATGCGATTTTCCGCAAAAATTGTAATATTAGAAGCAAACTGTTAAAAATCCCCCAAAAAGCAATCAAAACTGTCGTAAATAACACATCGCATTTTAAATTGAAAGCCCACAGCGGGAAATGTCTTGTTTTTCATCGAAAAAGAAAAGTGCAAGTAGCCAGTTTCACCGCCCACTCCGAGCGAGGAAGCATGGCATGCCACACGACCTGCTTCATGCGCACCCATTTTATGATGACCGTCCTCTGCTCGACGATGCCGCACTTTCTTTTCCGCAAATGGACTCATACGTGTGTTTTAAGATAAAATAAACAAACAGATTTCGAAAGTAAATTCCCCCCTTTATGATTTCGAGTAATCGAGTCACCGTGTAATCGGATCTTTACTCTTTGTTATTCCAACAACCGCGTCACTGCAACAGTCTTCCTCCAACTACATGTGCACGAAGTTAAGTCGGTGATTGTGGGATTTGAACCCACTAAACATTATTTTTTTGCACAGCGGGAGCTTCATTAAACAGGATCGTAAACACTTTGTGTGTTTGCGGCAGCTGTTTTGTTGACATGAGCGTCCACGCGTGCTGAGACGCATCTCTTGCTCCGGGTGGGCGTGAAAGCTTCAACTTGGCTGATTTAGCAGTGCGTAAACGTGGAGTAGACTGCAGGCTGCACAACAACTATTAAAATGTGGCCGTGATACTGATGAAGATAAGACTGTTTCCGGCGACACAATGTTGCATGTTGCAGCTTTTAGTTGCAGTAGTGATTACTTCCTCCAGCCTGAAACAAACCATGTTATTACCCATTCTGTTGTTCATCCCTCTTGCACATGAAAATAATCTGACATTATTAAACACACATCGTCGTTTATCTCACTTTCTGCACACTTCGTCGGGCTGCTTTAAGTCTTTATAAGTTGAACTACATTTCAACTTGAGCATCTAGTCAGAGATGCAGCGAGGCCAAAAAAGAGCATTTGTTCTGAGACAACTCGAAGCATGTTTTAAATTTCACACATGAAAAAAACAGAGCGGATTTAACAACCTCCAAAATCCTCAAAGACTGAACGAAACAAATAGAAAAAGCGGCTGCATACGTCACCTTGTTGCAAGTTGGGTTAAGTTAATCCAAAGTAAAATATTCCTGTTATCTTGTCGTTACGATGTGACTATTATGAAAATCAACCCCGCATCAATAACCCGCTCCCTTGTTGATGTCTGCGCTTGTGGACGGGACTGGGTAGTTGTGAACGGAGTGCGCATGCGTCGTATCCACACCTCCATTTCGGAGTAGGGCAGAAGGCTTTTTTCTTTTTCTTCAATCAAAGCATTTACATAAACGACGTGTGACGTAGCCGTGCGTCTGCATTCTACTGGCCTTATAAGGATGGGAACATTGCGCGGGAACGGGGGGCTCGGCCCCGGTTGCTATGGCACATTGGAGGGTGTAAGCAAAGGGGCGGGGCTTGTAGTTTTTACTACAGAACGCCAGATGGCCCGTCTGGAGCAGGCCTACGGTTTTTTTCAGGAGGCTCGGCGTCTCGCAGAGAAGTGCGCTTTGTTTATTTGAATTGCGTGATAACCGAGCAGATTAAGGGCTCAAATAAAAAAGGTGGGTGAAACATGGCTTCCACCCAGTGGCCAGTTTAGGGCGAGCATCCACTCGAATTAGTCTTTTTAAACTGCAGCAAACCAATCTGTTGTAAAATAAGAGAATCCTTTATGTATCCCACAATGGGGAAATGTACATTGTTACAGCAGCAAAGAGCAAAGATTGCAAACAAAAAAGTGAACACTACAATTTAAATAAAAAATAAAAATTAAGAATGTACAAAAAAATAGATTAAAAAAATAAATAATAATAAATAAAAGCCAAATAACAGCATCGTGTTTTTGATAACATAATCTGTGTTCTTATGTCAGTTATAAACTAAAAACAAAACTTAATACAAAATAAAACTAACCCGAGGATAACACGATTTCCTTAAATAATCTATAACCTAATAATTTATTGGTCAAAACAAATAGAAGTAGTTCTAGTAGCCAACATCGACTAAACGTTTCTCCACAATAAATAAACAACACACCAACAACATATGCAAGAGTGTTCATTCAGTCAATATTCACTTTATTCTTTAACCACACATTTCATAAATAACAATTTATTATTGCTTCCCTTAATCTGTATTTAAATGATAATAGAGAGGCTTGGTCTTTGTCAGTACCATAGTGCTTGCAGGGCAGTGCAGGAGACAGTGATTTTATACTTCATCTGTTAAATTAAATGCAACATCAACATAATACCAAATGGTTTTGAAAGATCTGTGCTCTACTATATCAGAAGACAACTAAACAGTCAAGAAACAAAAAAAATGCATGACCAGTGCTGGGATCTTTTTGTTTTTATACAGACACAAAACCGGATGCACTTAAGACAGAAAAAATATGCCACAAATTCATTACACCATAAGAAAATGGGCACAATTCTATTGAAAGATCTAATGAGGCAACTTATTTACAATAACAGAGAGGGGGAAAAGGCGTTCTATCAAAGTGACAAAGACCATTTGAGCTGACACAATGAGGACACCAGTTTGGTTTCAGTGCAATGATTCCATGAGCACAACTCTGCAGTGTGTGACTCCAAACTGAATAACAGGAAAGAGTTTAAGAATATAACATTTTGTTAACATATTTGGGAGAGGAGTTGTCCTGGATTATATATATACTAAGATATTCAATGAAGGAACTCAAGAAATATGCTTGTATATAATAAGGCCTGAGTCCTGATATATCACAACACAGTATAAGACATAAAACAAACAAACATATTTTGGCCATGCATGTGCTTAGTTTAAAATTCAAGTGCAAAGCAATACAGCAGTCGAAAGGAGAGTCCTAGTGGTTCACGGTTGGGTATACAGTAAACGGTGTGAGCTGTGAAAATATCTACTGTAGATGTGAGGTTATGAATGACTCTCTATTTCTCCTCAGGGGAAACAGAATTTCACAGTGTAAACAAATATAGGAAAACATCAGGCTATTTACTGATGCGATTACAGTATATCAGACATTTACATCAAGGAACAAGGCAAAATGTTTGGAGCTCCAGGTGCCAGCATATTCTCTTATAGTCCACTGTCCTTTTTTTTTTTTAAATATGTCACATTTTTCAGAGTCTGAATGCACTTCCATCTCCCGGGGATGAAAAGATGAATTTGTGAACCTATCAGAAATCCTTGCAGCAGGTAACACAGCAGGAAAAGCCAGTTCATATATTTTTCAAGGTCAGAGGTCGACTCCTTTGACGAGCGCGGCCTCCAGGGTGATCGTGAACTCATTGAGTGTGTGCAAGATGCGGGAGAGCGAGTGCACGGCGGCACGGTCCCTCAGCAGAGCCCCCTCCTCGTATGTCCGTGCTGTCAGGGGGAATGCTGCCAGCAGGGGGAGCCACTGAGAGAGGAGCCGGTCCCTGTCAAAAAGGAACAGGTTGGATGATGTTAACTAATCATGCCTGATGATGTTAGGCATTGAAGTGATGGTGATTTAATTCAGTAAAAAAAACAGAAAAAACAGAAAAAGTACAAAGCATAGAAAAAAAGAAAAAGAGACATATCTCCTAAGATAACAAATACATCTAAATTCAATTGATTGTGTTCGTTTTTTCTTGTCAACACACAGACCACACAAGTCTTGTCATGATGTCTAAATAATGATACTTTCTATGTTTGATATTTCATAAAAAAAAGGAGTGCTATGAATTATTAGTAAACTACACCACCTATGTGTTAAGTCAATTATTATTCCTTCTGGCTGCTGGTGTCAAAAGAGAAAACAAGGATGATGTTTATTCTTTGCAGATTACAATTGTTATATATTCAAGAACATTATCAATCACAGCAGTCATATGACTTAACGCCTGAGAGCACAAGGTTTTATCTACATGCACAGCTCCTCCTCCTCCTCCTCTACTGTTGTTTTGTCTATTCCATCCCATTATCTGTTTACCCAGGTTTCAAATATTTCAATTATGTTAAATGGTTGTGTAAAAGAATGCACATGTTCCTTGATGTTATTGACATATGCATACAGGCTCCAGCTGTTTAAAGGCTTTATATGCAATTTTTTTTGATCCAGCAGATGTCGCCCTTGAGCACCAGCATGAAACCAAAACAACTCGCGCTGCATTGTTGTGTTAGCATGCTAATGCTAGCGATCTTTATTATGCTGGTATCTTCACACTGCATGTAAATTTACCTGAAATGAGCGTGATCTAGAAACACAGTTAAGCAGTGAGTACAGTATGTTATTCTTCTTTTCTCTAGTCCCTCAATTAAACAACTTTTATACACGAGGGGAGGAGTCAGCCGGCCGTCCGGCGATGTAAACAAACTGAAGATAGGACTCTGAAAACTCTGAAAACATCACAGACAGTGGGACTCGGGTGTTACACCCATTGTAGACAGTCATGACTCACAGAGTTATTTTCAGAGGATATACTTGATTTCTATTATATTTAAGTGTGAAAATCACATATAAAGACTTTAAAGGGGATATCGGATCATTTGTCTTCTGTCTTAATGTTCTGTGTAGTAGCAGCAGTTGTTGTTGATGCAGTATCATCCTCTGATTCCTGTGTGTTGTGATCAGTGTATGTAAATGTTTTCAGCTCCAGATTGTCGTGTTCATTAATCATCGAGTTATGTAGCTCTTGTAGATAAGTGAGTTATTTTTGTGTGTGTTATATTTGTCAGATTTGTTTTTGTAACCTTACACTTCACTTCTAATGATCTGACCACTCACCTAATTCCCAGGCAGACAAACAGCTGGAACTTGCCCTCTTTTCCAATGTTTCGGGGTGAGACGTTGATTGCGTTGACATAGTGGCACAGCGAGTCAACAGGTGGACCCTTTGTCAGCGTTGATCCATGCAGGTCACCCATCTGATCCGCTGTCTCTATGGAAACCACAGCCTTTTCTACGGAACGGAGTAGACCACAAAATCAGTCTTTAACTTCATAAAGACAACCAAAGAAACCAGGATGCAGCATGTGTTCTGTAAGATTTACATTCACTGCCACTAGACAGAGCAAACAGACATCTGTTAAGGAGTAAAGCATCAGTTGTATGTCGCTGCACTTACCCACAAAGTCCCAAACAAACACATTCCTCTGGAACAGACGGTTAGATTTGAACCCGTGCAGAAGAAAATTCTCCAAAGAGAGCACCAGACCTCCTTCACCACACAACAGGACCGTCAGGTTTCCTTTCTGAGAGGACAGAAACGGGAACAGAGTTCATCTTTCAACCTCATTACCTCGGTATCTTATTCATCATTTATATAAATCATTTATGTAAAGATGGTATTGATACAAGGTTGAATTGTTACGCTGATGACACTCTGATTATACTTCTTCCTTTGTGAGTGCAATCCTTTCAACAACCTTCAAGCAGCATTTCATGTTGCCCAGAGAAATCTAATATACTAATGTACTTTTCAAGGTCTAAGAGAGCAGTTAACGATGCTCATCAGATTTTCACTTTGAAGAATGAGGTGATGTGTCTCAATGTATAAATATCTGTGTTTTTTTCCATTCAGTCATCATATTGAGAGTCGAACAAACAGAGGGTTAAATTGGGTTTCTTCAATAAAAAAAAATCCAGTTTTTTCTTTGTTACAAGGAAAACATGTACTCAAGCAACATTTTTATTCTTTATGGTGAAATTATTTTTATTAATGCTATTTCATCCTCACTGTAAATGTTGAACCATGCTGCCTTGTGATTTGTCCACACATCATTGTGTCTCGTATGATAAAGTAGGTTTGTCTTCCATATACAACAGAATGATGGAACATCTTTATGCGGCCATACTTCTTATTTATGTTTATCACAGACTCCCAAAACTCTCAGCAGCTGCAACCTTCAGTCTCGTTGACTTATAATATAGTTTTTCAGTCTTTAGTAAAAATGCTTTAACGTTTTTGCTTCAGCATCTTGAGCTGAGCTACAGAGTCTCCTTAAACTAGAGCATATTATCATCTTAGATGTTTTTAAAAACCAGGATTAAGGATCACTAGTCCCCTGTATGTACATGTCGTACTGCTTAACGCTGCAATTTTATTGTCTGAGTATGTGTAAAGCTTTGATGCTGCTATTTAGGCCAGAAGTCCCTTCTCAAATATATTTTTTGGTAAAATAAAGGTTAATAAAGTAAATCCTCTCACATGACTAATAGAGGTCATCGCAACTTTTTTTTTCATTTTAACAAGATCAAACAACACAACATAAACACTTGTCCATTAAAAGCCTGAACACACCTTTAAGGGATAGGGGGGAGGAGCCAAAATGATTTACTTCAAATTCTGTTTACAGCAGCAACGAAATGTATCACGCTGAATTGGCAGAAGCCCAACCCCCCCCAACTATGACTTATGGATACAGAAATTGTGGGACATATATGAAATGGAACAAATAACACACTCAATGAGGCTTCAAAAACACAAAGATAAGAGATGGAGTCCAGCCATGACGTTGCTAATGCAATAAAAAACAACCAAAAAAAAACAACCTTTATCTTAACCTTACCTAGGACAGGGTGTCTTGTATGTGTATTTTTTCTGCTTTTTTTTCTTTGTAGTTGTCGTTTTTTTGTTTTTTGTTTTTATGCTATTTCTTTCTTCTGTAGTGCCAAAAATTGAAAGAAAAAATAAGTTGAAAAGAAAAAAAAAAGCCTGAACACTGAAGATGTTATTTAAAAGAAGTGACGGCCCATTAATCGGAAAAACAAAGTGACATCTCTGCAGAGCTGCGGCGCTCTGCTGGGATGAGAGAGGCTAGTCTGATACACAAATGGGACAAAGCGAGGGTAATGAGCCGTGTTGGAGATATAAATAACACAGGCAGGAGGGTGACAGTCTAACGCGTCGCTGCAGAGATGCTCTTATTTTGCATTAACTGTTTCAGATTAAGAGAGGCAACAAATTGAATGCAGGAGCTGAATCAGTGGGACACACTCACTATGACAGCGACATACCTCTTGTTCAGGTTTGTGGAAGTGTTTCACCAGGTTATTCGCCGCCTCCCTCATGTCCTCTTGCACCTCGACAGCTGCCATCCCTGAAAAGATATTGCGAGCAGTTATAAAGAGAAACATGAGGATGAAATGACACCAAACATGAGGGGAAGTGGACTGGATAGCTAAATAGAGAAAGGTGATACAGGAGCAGAATCTGTTGTTGTAGTGAGAGAACACTAACAAGTGGGTCATCCATTGTACTAAAGAATGTGCCTTTTGTAAAGGACATACTGCTTCTGCTGCCAAGCGATCCCAGCACTGTCCGTACAGTCTGTGAAGGAGAGGCCAGCTCCGGAGGCGTCCCTGTCCACCTTCCAGCGTCCTCCTCAGCACCAGGTGTCACCAGCTGACCAATGAGAACTCTCTCCAAGCTTCCATCGCCCACGCCTTTCCCCAGCCAGCGGCCGCAAGGAACCTGGAAGGAAACAAGTCGGTATTATATTGTGAATTAAAAAATGAGTGATTTCTTAATAGAAGAAAACAGTTTAAATAGCTTTGCTAAGCTTTCCTACGGGTGTGTTGAAGGAAGCTCAGACAACAAATATTTGACAGTCAGGCTCATTGATAAGTCATTATATCATTGTTATATGTATTCATATTGATTGTTTTTTTAGAAATACTGTATAGACTACTAATTGTGTGCAGAGGGTTATTTTAGACCAAGACAAATGTTTCTAATTATAGAAATAACCCTATGAAATGAACCGTATGGTATGGTATGCTATGGTATGCTATGATATGCTATGCTATGCTATGCTATGGTGTGGTATAGTATGGTATGCTATGGTATGCTATGGTATGGTGTGGTATAGTATGGTATGCTATGGTATGCTATGGTATGGTGTGGTATAGTATGGTATGCTATGGTATGCTGTGGTATGGTGTGGTATAGTATGGTATGCTATGGTATGCTGTGGTATGGTGTGGTATGCTATGCTACGACATGGCATGGTATGGGCATGGTATAGTATGCTATGCTATGCTATGCTATGCTATGCTACGGCACGGCATGGTATTATGGTATGGCATGGTATGCTATGCTATGCTATGGTATGATATAAAGTCATATATTTAGCGGATGTGGCCCACTAAGACCTCCTTGCACATGAAGGCACTGTGCTGTGAGGTTACAGTCTGTGTTTAGAGATCAGGCTGAGTTAAAAATCGTACTTGTATGTGTGTCCGGTGATCTCATTGTACACCACCACACAGTCTATCAGACACTTGGCCAGCAGGCCGGAGTTCTCCTGTCCCAGCTGCAGAGTGCTCAGCCTGCCCAGGTTCTTACACTGAAATAAAAAAAGCACAAACCAAGTCAGTGTAGCAGAGCATGTGTCTCTGTCACACATAATGTTGACCTTATCGCTGAGGATTACACACAAACCTGGAAGAAGATTTCCTGTGTGTTCTTTGGGATCTGTCTAACTCCTGAATCGCCCATTTCTCCTGAGACACACACCCAAGGATCAACTGTTGCCATAGCGATGCTCAGCTTCTTCATGGGTACAATGACAACACGGTATGGAATATCTGGAGAGACCCAAGAGAGAGAGTTGTACTGATTCACGTTGATTTGCTTCATTCTTTAAATTCTCCAACACAAAACTCATCAGCAGTATGGAGGAAATATTCTCTTTTGTTTGGGGTCTAACTGTCGGTTTCTTGTGAAGCCATGGGATACAGGGTGCAATGAAGATTAAACACAACACAGAGAAAAACTTTCATTGTCTTTGAAAGTTATAAACCTGCACAGGGAAGCGAGTCATCATCATTTATCAAGGCTTTTCTCAGAAAACCTCAAATGAAACTGACTGACAGCGTCCCTGAACCTGCCGGTAGATTCCACCATTTTCTCAGTTAAAGTGAACAGGACTCACTGATGGAGGTGAAGACGCGTGTGAAGCAGAGGTAGTCCACAGTGTTGAGAGAGAGCAGGTGGAACAGGAACTGCTCCCTTTCTTCCTCACAGAGTAGAAATGCATGAGGTTTATAGAGCTTCCTGTCAGGGGGAACAGAATAAAGAAAAAGTCAGTCAGTATCACTCTCTGGATGATGTCCATGAATATAAAAACATGCTTCTTCTTCTTGGGCAGCTATGAGTGAATTATGACCTGAGCAACTCCTGGTGTGTGAGTAGCTCCTTAAGGTGTTGGGAAAGCATCTTCTTCTCCAGAGCCAGGTGGATCCAGGCCCGAGCCTGACCCACCTCAGATAGACCCTCACTCATGGTCTGAATGAACCTGGAAGAACAACAACAGATATGACAGAAGCAGTAAAAACAAGGTCTGAAACAACTGTTTCTCCTAAAACTGTGGGTGACCTCTCGTGACCCCATGAGAACAGGACAAAACACCTGCTGTAGAATCCTTTTTTTTTTTTTTTAATCGTTGTCTAAACTACACTCCTTACCTCATGTCCTGTATTAATGTTCCTCTCAGCAGAAGAGCGCCGTCATCAACCGTTCTTGTGTCTGAACCATTACACCCTGAACAGAGAGGAGGTTTAACATAGATGATCATTTCACTTTTATCTCTGTATGTTTTTAACACAAGAAAAAGAAAACAAGTGGATCATTCTCTGACCTGGAGACTCAGCTGGTGTCCCCGCCTTCCCTTGGGCTGCTTGGAAGTGAAGTAAATGGGACCAAAGAGCCGACTTCCCCTGCTCAGAATAAACACATTTGTCAATATTTGGCCTGTTTTTTAAAGTCTTTCTATGTGATTGTTCACACTTAAATATAAATCAAGTTTATCCTCTGAAAATAACTCTGTGAGTCATGACTGTCTACAATGGGTGTAACACCCGAGTCCCACTGTCTGTGATGTTTTCAGAGTTTTCAGAGTCCTATCTTCACTTTGTTTACATCGCCAGGACGGCCGGCTGACTCCTCCCCTCGTGTATAAAAGTTGTTTAATTGAGGGACTAGAGAAAAGAAGAATAACATACTGTACTCACTGCTTAACTGTGTTTCTAGATCACGCTCATTTCAGGTAAATTTACATGCAGTGTGAAGATACCAGCATAATAAAGATCGCTAGCATTAGCATGCTAACACAACAATGCAGCGCAAGTTGATTTGGTTTCATGCTGGTGCTCAAGGGCGACATCTGCTGGATCAAAACATCACATATAAAGCCTTTAAGTCCTCTTGCTCTTCATGTGCATGATGTTATTTTTTTTTGCATGAGGAAACACATATTCAGATTTTCTTTTTTTAGGTCATCTGAGCTGATGAGGCATGTTGTGTCTGTGTGTGTCTGTGTGTGTGTGTGTGTGTGTGTGTGTGTGTGTCTGTGTGTGTCTGTGTGTGTGTCTGTGTGTGTGTGTGTGTGTGTGTCTGTGTGTGTCTGACCTGTTTCAGCTGCAGCCCGTGGCCCCAGGTTCTCTCCAGTAGGTCACACAGGCCGTGGATGAGTGTGTTCTCCTGCAGGCCCGTGATGTTGGCCTCCCCCTGACCCAGTTCAACGCTCTCCTTCCCCATCCTCTCCATCAGCATCCGTTTGGTCTGAAAAAAACCAAACAGAGAATATCATTGTACTGTTACAGACAGAGAGAAATGGCCGACAGCAGTTCTTCCATCTTGGTTACAGGAGGAGTTCTCACCTTCAGACGACACTCGCTCAGCAGACCGTGGACAAACTCTCGGTGAGTCTGAGCGACGGCTTGTGGCAACGTGTCGAGCAGCTTAGACTGGCGAAGGTTTTTCCTCGCAAATGAATGTTTCTGAAATAAAGAAGACAAAGAATAAATCAGACACAAGCCCAGTGTGTGTGTGTGTGTGTGTGTGTGTGTGTGTGTGTGTGTGTGTGTGTGCGTGTGAATACCTGTCTCTGTTCATTGTCCACTCCTGAGTGTTCAGTCACTGTTGACCTCTTGGGGTCGCTCCTGCGTGAAGCCGTCATTCGACTCGACCACCTGTTGACATTCAGACAAGACAAAATAAACGTTTGTTTCTGTGTTTGTTTATTTTGGAGGGTAAAACCCAGAGGTCACATGATCCACATGTGCAGAGATTTCATTCTACACACAGCTTAAATCTTAATCATCCTGTTATCAACTTGTTATGTTACAAACGTGTTTATGTGATCGCAAAGTCAATGTTTACTTCTTAAACAAAGAAAGTGGATACTTCGTCAGTATTAAGGTCATTTAGGTTATATTAGTAGTTTCTGTTCCGTTTATAGACGGTTATAGGAGGACCTTTTATTTATTTATTTATTCATGGATCTATTAAAGGTTTCATCCATAACTATACTTAGTTTTTCCTATAAGGCCACTGAAGTCCCAAAAGGTGATTTTTATTATATTGTGTGCTCAGGATGTTACCTTTGTGGAAACAAGTCATTACCAATATTAAAAATCCAACTACTTCTAACAGTTTACCCATTGTTTTTTTTGTAATTATTTCAACATTTTGTTATTTTCTTTTAGAAAATAAATCCCATGATTTATCAGTCACTTCAAGTGAACCATCTAAACCAGTGGTTCCCAAAGTGGGGGTCGGGACCCCCTGAGGGGTCGTGAGAGACTGGGAGGGGGGTCGTGAGATGCCTTCCACAACCAAATAAAACATTTTAAATAATTTAAAATACCAAATTTTACCTTGATTGTGAAAATAAATAGAAAAAGTAGATGAATTTAAAACACAACTAGAGTCATTAAGTCAGATATATGTTGAAAGTGATCTTTGAAAATAATTATTTGAAGGTAAATTTGCACATAAATGCAACAATGTGAGGGTCTATCGCTGCCTATGAATAAAAATACTCAGTCCTACAGTTTATACATGGAGACGTTCTGCTGCCTTTCTTACAATAAATTACATATTATATAAACATACAGGGACTGTGGGGGGTCCCCAGTCTCGAGCACACTTATTGTGGGGTCCCGAGCTGAAACGTTTGGGAACCCCTGATCTAAACTATACTTTGAGGTAGCTATTATAACCATTTAGGTATGAGCCAAAAAGAACGTTTCTAAAGAACTTCTTCAGTGTGCTTTCATGGACAGGACAGCTGAAGAGAGGCAGAACATTTGGGAAAGAGAGGGGTGGGGGGGGATTGCATGCACCAAAGGGCAAGAGTTGGACTCTCTGTATATGGAGTGTGATCATCACCAACTCAGCTACAGAGTGCCTCAGATTATAACTGTTTTCCATTATTTAAATTTTTCTACCCAAACTGATTCTAACTTTTGTAGACAGTTTTAAACATTTGTGTTTAAAAACAGCAATTTGCATTGAATTCTGATTAGAAGCAGGAAATAAAAAGGCTCACTTGTTGGAGTTTTGTCCCTGTGTGAGCACATCAGCCTGCAGTTTGGGGAAGTAGCCCGGTTGGTGAAGACCCTGGCCGATCCTCATGTCCAGCAGGTGGGGGTGTATGGCTGTGTGGTCCGCCTTCAGCATCCTGCGCTCCACGGCCTGAGCTGCAGAGACAAACAAAGCAATGGATTATATTTTTTATACTTATGTTGGTGATGTTGCAAAATATTGTTTCTCTTATTGCAAAGAAAAGTGACAGCATGACGGACATTTGTAGAGTGCTGCAGTAACACATCTGTCGCAGAGTCTGTATGTAAACAATGGTACAGATAGACTGAGAGGAAATCAGTGCATTTTTTACTGTGAGCTTGGCAGGACATCAAAACAAAGATTTGAAACTGTTTTCATTGGACACACAGTAATGTTTACTGCTTATCCACATAATACTCTTTCCCCTCAAACCTCTCTAATTCCATAACTCTACCCTCTACCCTCCAGAAGCTGTTAACTCGAGTCTCCAGTAAACTTTTGAGAATGCGTTATACTTTCATTACTAAATAAAAATCTATGGCATTTCTGGTAGAAGAGAAAACATTAGAGCAACACTGATCCAGTAAATATTCACTGTAAGATTTCTGTTTTTCTTACATAAATGTCCTCGAGTCTAATTTGCAGATTCTAAGTATTTATTCTGTGCTCCACCTTACACCAAAATGTAATTTAAATCATGAAAGATCCTCTTTAATGTGAATGCATCTCAGGATGTGCCGTACCTGACTCAAAGAGCGAGGTGCATTTTCTGTAGTGACAGTTGTGGGCGTCTTCCTCGTCTGTATCGTACAGTCGCTCTCTCTCCAGACGGCTGTCAAACAGCTGCTGCAGCGGCTCTCTGTCCGCCCAGCGAGATATCACCTTCCCGTCCACAAAAGAGGCAAACATGGACGTCTCCAGGAAACGGGACAGGAAGTGTAAGTGGGTTGAAGACTGGACTGAGAGGAAGGAACCCTGAGAAAGTGACAACCACAAACACATATAACAGAAACAGAGATTTAATGTTCCTTTCATTATTGAGGTATCAAGAACAATTCATCTATGAAACAACATTTATCGTATTACCTTGTCAAAACTGGCAGTTCCCTCTCGGTTGCTCAACCAGGAGTCTAAATCCAGAGCGCTGTGGATAACAAACTCTTCATACCTGCCAAACATGGCGGCAAAACGTCCAGAAAGCACCTCCCTCAATTGAATGTTCAGCTTTGCATCCCTCATCTCCTCTTCTTCCTCCTCAAACACGTGTCTAAGCGTCTTCCCTCCATCCGACGTCTTGTCTCCTCCGCACCTGCGAGCCAGGGCCTGCAGCCTCTCCAAAACCGCCAGCTCTTCGCCTCCGAGATTCCCGTTCCTCCTGTCCTCCATCAGGTCCTCCAGCACCAGGCTGCTCAGGCGAGGGGAGGTGACAGCGGCGGCGGTGGTGGTGGCGGCGGTGGTGGTGGTGGGCTTAGTGACAGCGCTGCCCTGTGGAGAGAGTCCAAAACGCAGCAGAACCTCGCTCAGCTCCTGGACGAGCTCAGTCTGGTCTGGAAACAGGGGAAGGTCCTCGGGGACCTCGACACAGTGGTTGTCGATGTCCACAAAGCACAAGTTGGCCTGTGGGAAAAAAACACAAGGAAAACACTTTTCAGCTGGCTTCTCTTCTGAATGTCACAAGAGGTTTAAAACATCTCCATGCACTGACTCACATTCATCACATGAACCAAAGTGTCTGAGCTTTAATATTAAATTAAAATCAGAGATGAAGATTCATTCCATTAAGAGATTCTTGGTGTTTCACCATGATAAGCCCTTATTGGCAGATGAGATATCTGCATGTGAAGGATTATAGAAAGATTACTGTTATCACGGCAACAGGGGACGCTGTTGAAATCTGCATATCTGGCTTTCACACAGGCTGACAAATCATAAACCTGTAGGTTAACTGTGCCCTTATGAATCTACTGAGCAACCAGTTACAAAACTGTGAGAAGGATTTTAAAAATAGTGCTTCTGTAAGCAGCGCAGTCAGCAGCAGCGTGGCCTTCAACAGTGACCTCAGGCGCTCAGTTTGCAGCCTCAGGGGACTCTGGGAGACGAGTTGAAGAGCAGACATCTTCTAACTCTGTGCATCTACATCTTACTAGTAAATGTTTCCTTTTAAGCATCTCTCTCAATCAAATACGAAGATCAGACATTTTACAGTTTTCTCTGCAAATCGATATCAAGGAGGACCATTTAAGTGTTGTTTTTTGATCCATTGGAAATACACTTAATACCCCCCTATTCCAACCCTAATTATAAATGTTTCTTTAAACATTCCTGGCATATTACCACAGAGAGAATACAATCGCAAAACTCAAAGAATGAATGCCAATTCATTTCCTAATTTTGCATGTATTATTCAGTAAGTCCCATTTCTCTGCATCCTTCATGCTCTGCGTTTTTTTGCTTTCATCCCCCCGAGCTCTCTTTCAAATTCCTTTTTTTTTCTGGGGCAGAGCGACATCAAAGAGGCTTCAGTGAGATATTCATGCAGCAGAAAGTGAACTCGGGTTCAGTACTGGATTTATAAAAGGGAGGGGGAAGGCGACGCTCGGAGGATATAAATCGTCTCGACACGCTGTAGGCAGAGGGCAAAGTCAAACCTCAAAATTCAGCACAGAGCAGATCAGCAAATGGCTGTGAGAGCAGACCTCCGTTTAAGAAACATTTTTTTTCTGAATGTTTATTTCTACATCCTGATAATCACACTGGCAATGTTTCCCAGGAAACAACAGACGCCTTTTGCACAGGAGATCTTTGTTTACTTATTTTTTTTAATACTTTTTATTTGATAGTTTTGAAGAAAAACAACATAAACCGTCAGAATGAGCATATATACATTTGTATTTGGTTTGTATAGAAGATCTACCCATAAGTGCATCATCATCTATACAGGCATGGATAAATATTTCTGTTAGCTCATTCTACGACAGAAAAGAAGAGTGAGCAAAAAGGAAGGGAAAAAAATAAAAATAAAAGAATAAAATAAAAAGAGAGCAAAAAAACAACAGAGCATTATAAAAAAAAAATAATAATAATAATAAAATAAAATAAATAAAAATAAAAAGTGGGCCTTGGATAGTTCTACTCTAATAGTATTTATTTATCTATTTCTGTCTATGTGTTCTTCACCATCTGCTTCGCTCTTTGTTGATCTTCATTTCCCCCTGTTTTAAATCTGTGTCTGTTAACTTCTTCCATCGTGACTCAAAGACGTCACCTAGATTCCTTATCCTCTGTGTAATTCTCTCCATATTATAAACGTCATTAATTGTTTCTTCCCATTTAATTATTTATGGTGGGGTTGGTTTAAGCCAGTTTTTAGTTTTCTGTTTGATCACCGTTATTCTTAAGATTCTATAGAGGTCTTTGTTTACTTTTTGTACCTCGTGCGGTAGGTGGAGAGAGGACCGCTGAGCGCCGGCCCTGTGCTGGATACCCATGAGGAACGGCACAGGAGCGTCCAGGAGGTGATTCAGCGGCGTGGAAACGATGGGCAGGTAGATGTGTTGCCACTGGAACGGGAACAGCAGGGTGGTGATGCCCTCAGCCACCGTCATTAAACGCTGGTAGTCTGAGGACAGAGAAGGAGATAAAATGAATCACCTGCAATCACAAATTCTTTTCAGGGGATGAAGTACATTCTCTTTAACAGTACGTTAATGAAGCTGTTACATCGGCTTCTTATGGATCTATTTAATTATAATCTTGTTTACAAGCCTCAGAGAGCAGCGACTGTTAATGACTGTGGATGTTAAATACTCATGAAGTAGCGGTGCCAGTTTCTTTGCAGAATTTAACCTCAATCCCACCAGTCCTGTTCCTATTGGATGTTGCATTTTGGAGTAACTTTAATGTAAAATGTGAAAGAAGAAAAACTTTTTAACTTCATTAATTGAATTATGGCTTTCTCTAATGACTTCCTATAACGTTGCTTTTGTATTGGAGATGCTTAATTCTGAAAAAAAAAAAAAAAAATGTGGTTAAAGTCTTTATGTGATTTGTCACACTTAAATGTAGAAATCAAGTATCTCCTCTGAAAATAACTCTGTGAGTCATGACTGTCTACAATGGGTGTAACACCCGAGTCCCACTGTCTGTGATGTTTTCAGAGTTTTCAGAGTCCTATCTTCACTTTGTTTACATCGCCAGGACGGCCGGCTGACTCCTCCCCTCGTCTATAAAAGTTGTTTAATTGAGGGACTAGAGAAAAGAAGAATAACATACTGTACTCACTGCTTAACTGTGTTTCTAGATCACGCTCATTTCAGGTAAATTTACATGCAGTGTGAAGATACCAGCATAATAAAGATCGCTAGCATTAGCATGCTAACACAACAATGCAGCGCGAGTTGTTTTGGTTTCATGCTGGTGCTCAAGGGCGACATCTGCTGGATCCAAAAAAATTACATATAAAGCCTTTAAGTTTCTCCTCAAATTTAACAGAGTAAGCTGTAGATCTGCTTTGATTGTAAAGGTCTTGTGATAACATTTCTAAGGTTTTTGTGCTATACAAATAAAACGATGATTAATTGATTGAGACAGTCACACTCCTACTGTTTAAGAATATCATGAAACAGATTCTACATATGACTGTATTTGCATTCAATGTTTGCAACATAATATTTTTATAATAACTTTATTGTGTTACCCTGAGAGTAAAGCAGGACTTGTGTCTCCAGGAGGGCACAGGTTAGTAGTTGCACCATGCTGTCGACCCCCAGCAGGGAGAACGCCTCTCTGAGGGGATACTCCCCAAGGGGAAGCTCCCCCGGCCCGGGCCGCTGACACAGGATGGGCCCCTGCACCCCGTGGAACCTTAACGACCTGCCTGGTGGGGGCAGCGGCACCTCATACAGGATGTTGTGGATGTAGCTTTCTAGCGGGAGGGGCGGGGCGGTCTGCGATGTCACCGCCTGGTGCAGCTGAGACAGAAACTGTCGAGAAGCCTGGAGGAAGGGGAGCGGCGTAAGGAGGCAGAGGGCTTTGGACACGTACAGGGTGTCCCGCGCCGGATCGAAGGAGCTCGCGCAGCCGAGGCAGGAGTTGACCCCGACCAGGGACTCGGCGTCCGACTCGTCCAAGCTGCTCACGAGCGAGTCCATGCTGGAGGTGGAGGGCGAGGAGGCGGAGGACGAGGACGAGGACGAGGAGGCGGAGGAAGCGGAGTGGTGCTCCACGTGGTGCATCTGGAAGAGAGTCTGCATGGCTGTGATGATCTGAGCGCAGGTCACCTCCTCGTAGAAGGTGTGGACGAAGCCGTAGGCTCGGGCGCCGTCGTCGAAGGACATGGAGAAGGAGTGAAACTGAGGGTCGAGTCTGTCGGCCTGCGTGCAGAAGGAGAGACCCCTCGGCATGCAGAGCTGAGGAGGAAGAGACGGAGAAAGAAGAGAGAACATAAAAGAGGATTTAAATTAAATGTTTTCCTGAATGATGACTTCATGTTAATAAAAAAAACAATCAAATATGTAATTCCAAACAACTCTGCTAACATTGAACAAAAACTAAAAAAAAGGAAATGTTTTAAACACTGGCAGTATTATACTTTGACATCTATCAGAATCAGAATCAGATTTATTGTCCAGGTATGTTTACACACACACACAAGGAATTTAACTTTGGTGAACTGTGCTCTCTTATGTACAGGTACAACATTAAATATTAACAATAAACAGAATAAGAAAAGACTAATATTTACATGACTAAATATGAAACAGTGCAGTGGTGAATAGTGCAAAAGATGCTGATGTAATATGATGATAAGAAATTATATTATATTATATTATATTCTAATTGGACTATCTTATGAGCTAAAGGAAAACATGTTGACATAAAATAGACAGAAGCTTATCAACTACAAGACACGAGGAATAGCTGAGTATGTACATCCAAAGATCACCATGACAACATAGATTTCTTTGTTCTGTGCAAACCATTTAAAGGGATACTTCACCCATTAGCATTAATCTTTGTATCATTAGAAACCTGGTAGTATTTTTGAATGCTCGTGCATCCCGCCCTCATTTTCCCCTGAGATGAGAAATCTTTGTATTTCTGAGTCTCAAAAGGAGCTTCCAGTGACGCAAATATCGTCATATTGCGTCACTGGAAGCTGTTGTGGTTAGCGGGGTGAAACTACAACGCTAGTTCCTCATATTTTTCGACCACTGAAGCTACAGACCAATCACAGATCAGTGGGTGGGAACTCACTCCCAGAATCGAAACTTAACGTCCGCCATATTGCTCGGAAGCTAAGCTAACAGGCTCTATGGAGAAAAAATATAAATATAGCGGCGAGGCGGCTGCTGCTGACAGGCCGGTCTTGTGTTTTGGCCGCTGGCCGCCGCGAGCCGCCGGGGCCGCCGCTGGCGGAGGCTGTACGGAGGCAAGTACGATATTGAGATTTATTGAATTCCATCTGACATCTGATACTTCTCATGAGGCTGATGCTTTCATCATCCTGACCTATATTTTCTTTTTTGGGATCAATAAAGTAATTCTATTATATTCTATTCTATTCTAAGCAGCAAATGATTGATTATCTGCTTGTTTCTCTACCTTCAGCACATACAGGGCACACATACTGTAGTCCTCGTTTTCATTTCTACGGTTATGAGAGAAAATGGATGACAATGAAAACAAGGGCGGCCATGTTTGTAGTGTTATTGAAGATCTCACCATGTTGACAGCATCTTTACTGAAAGGGTTTCTGTCTGTGTTTTCAGGGTAGTGCACCAGAACCTTTGACTTGAAGGATCTCCGAATGGGGCTCTGCTCGAAGCCTTCTCCTGCAAGACAGACAAACGACAAAAAGAAAAAGAAACGTTTAAAGATGGCATCAGCAGTGCAGCGTGACCTTTCACCTTCACCATCGCTGAATACGTAATGACAGCAGCTTTGATTTATGAAACAGCATGGACAAGACGGCCTTGTTCATCTGTTGCTGCCGGTCGGAGCGGTTCTGCGGAGGAAGAGGGAAAATCCCTTCAAGAGTTATGTAACTCCACTGATTAGCATAAAGATGGACTGGAAATGCAGCACAGCATCGTCCCTGACACACTGCAGCACAAAACTCTTTATGCATGTGGGGAGCACAGAAGATATCAAACATGCTGCGTCTTCATCCATCAGGAGGATGAAGGATGAGAGATAACAGCTACCTGTGTATGTAAGGGGCTGAGTTTGCAGTGGATGCAACACACTCTTCACTTTATATTCTGGTTTTCACAATGCAGGGATTTGATGCACGGCTCAAAGTTTCTCCTCTGTTCACTCTCTTGTGTCAGCTTCCAGCTCCCGTTACAGTCAGAGGTCGATGTGTTTGTGCAAAAGGAGCAGCTAAAAAAAGACATAGAAATAAGCTGTGTGTGTGTGTGTGTGTGTGTGTGTGTGTGTGTGTGTGTGTGTATTCATCTGTCAGCAGTGAATGAGGTGCTTTCATTACTCGTCCCCTATGTGAGGGTTGCCCTTGGACAGTGCTGTCTGGCTTGATGTTCAGATTGAGCTGACAGCACCGCATGACGTGGACAAAATCGAATATAAACTACTGGTCTACTTTTAGGCTGCAAACTGTAGATGTGTGGTCATCACTTTGTTTTCAAGGTCCTCTATTCTAAGTTCATCTCCCCAAGAGATATCAAGAGATATGGATGTTTGAATTTCTGTTTTAATCCACATGAGAAAATACACAGACTGATCCACCGTTCAATACTTCAATAACAACATGAAGTGGGATAATCAAACATAAGATCCCATATTGGCTTTATCTCACAGTATCTATTAGAGCTGAACAATTAATCGTTATCACGATATGAGTGTTCACATTAAACACATCGTAGGAGTTTTAATTTATCGCAATAAATTCATTTTTGTAAACAAGCAATGCTTTCTAACTCAGCATCGGACGTTTTAATTATTGGATGCAAACCGGGGGAAATGTTCATAACATGCTCCCACACCGTGTTGATGAAGCTTAAACCAGCTGTCAAATGGTGCCAAGTTAGTGGTGAAAACATCTGTTTATATAATGGATTCAGGAGGAAAATGTTGCAAACAAAAATGTTCAAACAATCTGGTGATTCAAAATCGGTCAACGCACTTCATATCGTTATCGCGATATAAAACAATGCTATCACACATCGTCGCACGTTTTCCTTATATCGTGCAGGCCAAGGTTCAATCTGATGCTCTTATAATAATTGTGTTTGCAAAATGTTTCACCTGAATCCAAAATACATTTTAAAAGCTTTTATTTCCGACAACTACAGCAGCATCGATTAAGCTGAGGAGAGCGTGCCTATGTTCCCACATTTCCTTTTTCATAAATTTGTATCAGCTTTTGTCCCCCTTTCTCCCAATTTGGTAGAAAATTACACCCAACATGTGTATGTAGGTATGTATATGCATATATGTAGCAAGTGATTGTATAATATGTATATACCGTATGCGTATTTGTACTTATCTGGTTTTGTTTGTCTGACTTAAGGAAAGGAGAACACGCCATCTATAAGCTCTGCTTCAGCCGAACCCTTTTCTACAGCCTGTTTTATTTTTGTGATTGTGACGATTTCTGCTGCCGCTGATCGAAATAAAATTACTCATTCATTCATTTACTATAAAGTGCTTCTAAAAAGATCTTGTGGGAGGATGGGGCTTAAATTGAAGGGAAATGAAGGAACACAAGACCTCATTTTGAAAATGTCCTAGAAATGTGGGAACATAGGGCCGACCCCAAACTGAGTTAGCAGAAAGTTAGCATTAGCTTGAAGTGACAGCATCAAAATGTTGTAAAAGCAGAACGCTTATATAAATATACACATCCTGTACTGCGTGAGAAAGCATCATGTTCACATGTTTACATATTATTTTGTGATCATTGTGAGCCCTCAAAATTCAACATAATGACATTTGAATGAATTGCTCAGCCACGATGGAGACAGTCAAAGACACTCGGCTACACATTGGAGAGTGAAGCTTTGAGGGATTAAAACTGTATTTGGGTAATTTTTTTAATATAAACGGAGAAAAACAAACACTGAAGAGAATTGTCTCTGTTATGTGTCATATTATGACAAATTCGAGCTTTGGGAACACTGAGCTCATGGGAACATAGGCACACTCACTCAGCATTCACACATCCACCTCACCTGCCTGAGATGACGCACAGCGCCCTGAGAGGGAAAGCTGAGCGAGAGAGGAACACCACTTGGAGCTAAACTGAGTCACCCTGGTAGGTGGGAGATACGAGCTAATGGAGGAGAGAGCGAGAGTCAATGTTCTTTGCTACAGATAGAAATTGGTGTCAGCGCTGAAGGGGGGGAAGAATCAAGCCTCACAGAAGGACACCTTGTTGCCATGGTAGCAAATTCCGCGGCGGCCTTGAAGGCAAAGCTACGTCACTTTTTGTTTCATCAGCTGACCCAATTTAGAGAGACAATCATTTAAACACGAGTTTCCACCCAAGAGTCTCAGAGACGGTGGGTACTGAGAGGGAGGTTTGTTTCAGTGTGAGAACGAGAGCTTAAACGCCTCTTTCAGTCAGGCTGTCATTTGAATGTTTCCTTTTCTCACCATGGTAACAAACACAGAAGAAACCATGTGTGAGCTAAGGATGTTAAAGAATACTTAATGTCTTCAAACCAGCAGCGAACAAACCAGCAGCTAACAAGCGGATCATTTTAATAGAAAAAGAATCAGATTTAAACTGAAATGTACATTTAACATTTGGCCTACGTCATTAAAAAGAGACAACTATCTTATCACAATTTCCTGAAACCAAAGAAAATCCTTTCAAATTGCTTGTTTTGTCTGACAAGATCGGGTGAATTAGCCAAATGTGGGACACCTAAGCTCAAGTGGGTGTAGGTCTTCCTACAACAAATGAAAGTCAATAAAACTAAGGGTTAACACAAGTTGTGATGTCATGTGATCTAAATAACATGACTTCTCAAATGTAAGAGAAGCTTCAAACAGGAAGTACACAGCGTGAGACCACCCAAAGCTCAGGGACATAAATAAAACAATCCTACTTTCTTTATGATATGCTTGTTCATCAAAAAATATTATATTGCGTTATAAATAAACTCTATATTTGTTATTTTAAATCAAAATTTCCTTTGTCCCACTTTAGGAAACATGCAAATCATCCTGGATTTTCTCTTTGGGGTTGATTAGGGGACATCCTACTGGGTGTGGATTTAATGAATAGCTTCATGTTGTAATATATCCCAGAAGTCTAAAATGAAAAAATGTCAGACTTAGCCACATTAGGCTAATTCACCCATATTCAATTTGATATAATATTTAGCTCCTTAACATTTTATGTTTTGTGCCCTAAGATGACATTGTGAGAAAATCTGTTTATTTGATGGATTTTGAGGGTCCAACACAAAAACAAAAACACAACAGTACAGTGTGATACAGACAGTCACACAAAATACACACACAAACATAAAGGCTCTCAAACCCCCATGTATCCCTCCCGCAAAGCCACAGCACACACACAAAATCATCAGAGGTAGATGCACATAATGAAGAGAAGAGGACATTAGAAGCAGCAACATGGTTTTGTGAGAAAAGTAAAAACTGAGTAGTGAATTTATTGTTCTGATGTTTACAGGTAGATTGTTCCAGTCAACATGTATCTGTACATTTATAATGTGGCATTTCAAGTTGTTTTCTAGAGGTCACAACTTGTTTTTTTTGTCATATCTCCACAGCTGCAAACTTTGAAAATATTATTTTGTTTGTTTTCATAAACTGAACTGAAGATCTTTTCCCCATTTTTTGTTGGAACTGAGTAAAAACCCAAAGTGGAATTTTGAGTTGGACTGTTTCTGGACTGAGGGATTGTGGGATATTGAATATTTGTTATTTTTTGAGTGTGGGTTGAGTGTTTGAGTTTATATTGTGGGTCACAGGGTTCATTTGTCGAGTTTTTATTTGTGGGGTTTTGTCATTGAATGTAAGGGTCACACTTGTCGTGTGACTTTTTGGTTCAAATAATCCGAACAAAAAACTCAACTAAAACTTAAAACGACAAAAAACAACCGACTTATCTTAAATAAGAGAGACCTGACTGACACCCCTAAAACAAAATATCAAAGGATCATCACATCTCAAAGTCAAACTGTCCAAGTCTGAACGTACTTCATTAGTGTGGGCACGAGCAGCATGGCATGTCTTGGTTTGACTTATCACCGTGAGCAGTGTATTGTTGTTTTGTTTTCAAAATCACCATAAAACGCTCCAAGAAAACAAGCTTTGTTGTCTAGAGATAATTGTAAAAATAAACTATTATCTTGAACTTTGTAACCTCAAGATAACGAGAAACATAAGACCTTGAGAAAACAAACAAAATGCATTTCTGTTTCAGCTCTAATCCTCAGTACAGAAAAGTCCTTCCCGCTGTCACTATAACGTCCATATCGTCTATGTTTTACAGGTGATTTTGACTTTCATATTCATTCCCAGGTTTGGATATTAATCACAAAGATGTACAGCCTTAAACGGTTCCCCCATGTCTACAGCAGACTCACTTTATCAGGAAATGACCGAGCACTCAGAAAGACGATCATCCATCATTTAGGAAAAAAAAAAAAGTCATTTTAACAAAATGAATCACCCCCCTCCATCCCGTCCATCATGTCATTACACGAGTCCATGAGGGGAAGGTATAAACAGTGGAAAGAGATTAAAATGTGCAGCAAATGGCAGCCGGCTCTGAATGACGGACGAGGAGATTTTCCTTTTTTTAGCTTAAAACACTTTAAATCAATTCTTCTTTGCATCACAGATTTGTCCATCCACTCGAGATTAATCACAAAAAAATGACACATTTTTCCCTTTTTGTCTGAAACACAGACTTCTGAGCTTAAAATAAAAAAAGATAAAAGAAAAGTGTGGCGGGGCCTAAAAATAAGATAAGACACGCTGGAATTTCTTTTTGTTAAAAAAAGACATCTCGGTGCAGTGTCTGTTCAACATTACAAAGCAGCAGCTCTCAAATGTTTCGGTCAGGGAGTTCTTCTTGCCCTCTGCTGATGTCACCCCCCCCCCTCTTGCCCCCCCTCCGTATCAGTCATCAGGCCTGAACGGGCCCTGAAGCCTCCCCGCCATCCAGCGTGCCAACAGGCAACAACGTCATGTGAAATTTGATTAGGCTGCAGAAAACACAAAGTGGCATCTATTGAGAAGCCAACAAGAGCAGATTGTTTCTCTGTAGGCATTCACTAATGACACGCACGCACACACACACACGCGTGCGCACACACACACACAGATACTGCATCATCCAAAGACTGTACTTGTTTATTAGAAGAATGGACGCCTCTGGCTTTGCAGCAGTATAAGGGATATGTATGGAGAGAATGAAACCCCCTTTAAAAGGAGCAGAGACCCCATGCTGCTGCAGAAAGGACCTGCTGTTACATAAGCAGATTGCTGGAGCTTTGATATTACCAGCCAGTAGCTGCGCTGTCATCCCTGCAGGGAGCCAGATATCGCTCCCCTATGGTTAGAGAGTGAGCACTAAATAATCTGCAGCCTGCTACCCTCTCCAACATGATACAGTCAGATGTGATATTTAGGCTACTAAAAAAAAAAGGCCTTCAGCTGAGGGAGAGAAAATACAAAGGCAGGGTCTGGTTTCAGCCCCCTTGAGAATCTGGATACAATGAGTTACAAGAGGAATACAAGGTGTGATTCAGAGCTGGGAATGAGGCTGGAGCCGTCTGCAAGTCGCACACTTGCACCTGTGTTAAACAATTTTAATAAGATTTTAAATTTTAACGCTGTCATGTTAGCACACTGTAACGTTAGCACGATGTCACGCAGCCTGCAACTGATCCCTTGCACTGTAACTTTTAACTCTTTTTATATTTTTGCTTTATTTATTTCAGTTAATTTCATTTGAATTATTATTTTTATTTGAACATATTTTCAGATTTAATAATTTCAGTGATTTTTTAAATGTTCTATTTTAATGTTTCTTTTCCTCTGTCATGATGCTTTTTGATGTCTTGTGTGAAGCACTTTGAATCGCCTTGTTGTTGAAATGTGCGACATAAATAAACTTGCCTTGCCTTGTGTGGTTCTTCCCCGCGCACATAGTGATGCACATGCAGAGCAAAAAACACGTGCATTCGTCACCGAGAGCCCCTGGGTTGATATCTGTCCTCACCTTATACCCAGCTGCATGTCAACACCTCAAATTGGGAGACGCTTACACCACCTGATCCCTGTTTCTAAACTCCACAAATATACAGCATCAGGAGCAGCAGCATCACTACTACAGCTGTTATCACCGTGGCAACAACATCACATTTCTGACCTCTACGGGCTTTTTGGTGAGAAGGGCAACAGGAACTCGAAGGATACATCTGTGTGTGTTTTTTTGTTACAGCAGTAAATTAGAGAGCAATCACACAGATTATGACTGCTCTCAGATTTACAGAACAGAACAGTGTAATCTGGGAGCTGCTGTGTTATCCATGACCACCACCACCACCGCCTGCCTGGATGCTCCATCTGTGCTCCACTTCTTTTTTTTTTTTATTGGGCAGGAACGAACACTGTTGTCATCTCTCTCTATTAAACCCTTTCTCTGCTTTATTTTTATTCATCCTGGTAGAGAAGTGGATGACTAAACATTTATAATCTCAGAGCTGACAGGCTCAAAAATATGATGAAAACACAGCGGAGGGAGGTGCAATGTTTTCCCAGAGCAGACATTACATGAAGGAGACAAGACAATGGGTTGTGAAATGTTTTTAAATTCCATCAAATTGTTTGAACTAGTAAGACCAATGGGATCTCTTGATGTCTCTTTGGTTAAGGTTACCTTTCTCTACTGTCTATATTTAGAGATGTATTTATAATTACACAAATCTTGACCCAAAAAAAAACCTGTAAACAGATTCTGAAATTATTTGAAATTTCTTGTTAATTAATTAATTAATTGGCTTTCTACGCAGATCCTGGCAGATAGTGTGTGATCAACAAAGGAAGAGAGGAAGAGAAATATGACGTCCAATCAAAACATATCCAAATGGTTGTCACTCCGCCACACATGGCCTAAGCGAAGTGGTGCATTTTTAAAAAAAACATGAAGTAGCCCATGACATTAAATCATCCCAATGTGTGTCTGTGTTTTGTAATGTTGTAATGTTGTAATGTTGTAATTCCCCCCCCCCCTATTGTTTATAGACCGTGTACCTGCTCCGTAGTCCGGCTCCAGGCCCGTCTCCGTGTCCACCCCACACACAACAAAATAGTGGGCGAAACGGCAAGAAGCCGCTCCTGTGATCGATCCTGCAGTCCCGTTCATCCTCGATGCGATTATTATTGTGTGTGAGAGAGAGAGCTCCGTTTACTTCTTCTTATTTGGCGTGGTGGATGTTCATAGCTGTGAGGAGGACTAATCCGAAACCGAAGATCCTGATCCGTGCGCTGCCTGTCCGCGCTGTGATTCTGCTGCTGGAGCTCCGGAGGATCCAGAGATGGTCACCCAGCCTGGGAGGAGGGGGGAGGAGGAGGGGGGAGCAGGAAATGTGTAGGCCTGTGACAGAGGGAGGGGACAAAAGACCCAAACGCATCATCATCCTCATCATCATCAGTGTGAAATCAGCCTCGTTTTTAATGTTTCTCTTGATGTCATCATTATACCTCCACACATTAAAAGGCCTACAGTTTAAAGGAATTATATATTTTTAAATTTCTCTCTAACCAGAACTAGATAGGCTTTATTTAGAGCAGCAGATTATATTATTAGTGTTTTATTTATCTAACCTTTATCACTCTACTTATTATAATTAAATTAATGCTGTTAGGCATGTTTTCACAAAGCTTCAAAACACATTAAGGATAAACTTCCTGAACCATTAGATTCTAAAAAAATAAGAATTAAGAAGAAAATAAGAGAAAGTAATACTGGATGAAAATTAAAGTTGCACTACTTCTACACATTGAGGTCAACATAGACAACATGTGAAAACTCATGTAGGCCCACAAATTATTTAGTGGCTGAGCTTCCCAAAGGCTGAGGAAACATCAGAATAAACTCTCAAATGTCATTTTACAGAAAGGTCCGTGATCATAACTGAAGTATTGAGAATGAAAGAAATGGGCTTTCCACGTCATAAAAGCTCATTTAATGTAAAATGGGATGAATGTGTTGAGATATTCAACTTCTAGTGACTAAAATCTGAATATCTCATATTCTGATGTCACTCTTTAACTTTGTCTATTAAAACTTGGAAGACCAAAATCCTTTTTCAGTTTCAATGAAAAGTAGAGGAGAAAATAAGATTTTTTTTTTATTCTGGAAGAATCCAACAAGTGTTATACATTAAAGTCTTTCTATGTGATTTTTCACACTTAAATATAACATAAATCAAGTATCTCCTCTGAAAATAACTCTGAGTCATGACTGTCTACAATGGGTGTAACACCCGAGTCCCACTGTCTGTGATGTTTTCAGAGTTTTCAGAGTCCTATCTTCACTTTGTTTACATCGCCGGGACAGCCGGCTGACTCCTCCCCTCGTGTATAAAAGTTGTTTAATTGAGGGACTAGAGAAAAGAAGAATAACATACTGTACTCACTGCTTAACTGTGTTTCTAGATCACGCTCATTTCAGGTAAATTTACATGCAGTGTGAAGATACCAGCATAATAAAGATCGCTAGCATTAGCATGCTAACACAACAATGCAGCGCGAGTTGTTTTGGTTTCATGCTGGAGCTCAAGGGCGACATCTGCTGGATCAAAACAATCGCATCTAAAGCCTTTAAGTATTGTGATGATATCATATCGTGGGGGTCTCTGATGAATCCCACCCCTACTGATTTTAACACACTTACATAAACAAAAACTGAAGGCATTCCCTGTCTAACAACTAATATCATCCAACGAGAAAGAAAATCAGTGTTTGTTAAATACATTTGAATCCACACAGAAATGAAGACGTGAATATCAAAAATGTTATTTTGTATTTTTATTGAATCAGACAAACATTTCTCTTTTTGTCGGCAAAACGCTGACTTCATTAAATAAATAAAATAATCTAGATCACATGTAAATCAGCCTCCTGCTGTGTGTGATCTGGTAAACCATGTTGCCTGAGAGACATTTTGGGATTTTGCTTTAATAAATTCAGTGTCCAAACATAAAAAATGTGCAGCATTCTTTCTGACCTGGACTGCCTCATGCTATAAAATCTTTGCATTCAAACTCGTACTCTTTGAGTTATTAATCACATTTTCCATGCAAACAAGAGGTTTGCACCTACATGCACCGTCCTCTCTGAGTTTATAACGAGCAGATGAGTGCACAGCTCCAGTCCCTTCAGATAGACGACATCTTGTTTCAGTCAGGGCAGAACTTTTCACAATAAGGCTTTTCATTTAACATTCAATCACTGGTGTCACATGTCCACTTTATGCATCACCATCTTTTAAGATCAAGCTGAATATCTTCACAGTACATGGAGCAGTCCTCACGGTCACAGCAGGATGAAAATCCTTTTTCTCCTGCAGCGTCTTCAGCCGCTTTCTGGAAGATTTACAACTGAGAGAAAAAAAAAACATCTCAAGCATTGAGGGGTTTAACTGCCGGGATTAGGGCACCTTTTGAAGATATCCCAGGTTGTATCCTTTCCACCTCACCTGGGTCTTCTCAGTATGGGGGATGCAGTGTTTTAACTACAAGGTCCTCCTGCTACTTCTCACTTCCTTCCAGGTCTGTGGAGCCGGCTATCCTGTATTTGTAACATCACTTTGACAGTTTTTAAGTTATGACGCTGGTTCTCACATTAGCTAAATGTATAAAATATCTTCTTATGCTACTGCTAACAAGAGCATGATCTTTAAATCCAACATGGCTGACGATCGTTAAGTGAGGACTGGAGCTTGCAGTACATCCATTCATTCGGGTCTTCAAAGGCATGCTGAGGTGTGCAGCACAAATCTCTTCACCTCTCATGCCACACGGGTCAATCAGACAACAGTCTCTTGAAAATGTTTGGCAGTGGGTTTGGTTTTTAAGAAATTTCACCTGGAATAGATCTTCAGAAAAGCAGGTCAAGTTGTCACAAAAGGAAGGGCACTGTGGAGCTTTTTAAAGGAGAATAGTCTTGGGCAAATGAAAAGAAAACGTTTTCTTTCTGGCAGGAAGAAAACATGAAGAGGCCGCCCGTTTCATACCCTCGATGGATTCTCCCTGCACGACCGCAAAACTATTTCTCATCAGTTGTCGTGTAATCGTAGTGTAAGAAACTGGAAATCAGGGTGTGAGAATAAATAAATTAGTTCTGAGTGGCAACTTGATCTCGATAACGCTTGGAGAGTGTGGGAGTGTAAACTCAGCATCGACAATGATGTCAACAGATCTAAACGGACGAGGAAAGTGACAGGTCGGTGGCTTTGGCAGGGTTAATGTGAGAAAACTAAAGCTGTGCATTGTTTTCCAGTAGGAGGTTTACGTCAGGACGCGAGCCACCTGGGCTTGGATCTCCCCGTCGGGGTGCGAGAGCAGCTGGACCAGTCTGCTGTGGAGCTGGGAGGACTCGTCTAACATGACCCTGAAGAGGCAATCCTGCTTCCGCCTCAGTTCATTGGCCACCTGGGCGGAGGGCCTCCAGGCTTTTAAGTTTCCTGCAAACGTCAGAAGTCGCAGGAGCACGGCAAAGGCTGTCCGAGCATCGAACAGCAGCACGACAGAGGCTGGTGCCTGGAGCAACAACAAAAAAACAAGAAAAGCATCAACATGAGGCCACTCGAGCTGGAAAACAAGCAGCCTCTAAACACAGAAGTGTTACCTAACTCGCTGAGTAATTCATCAAAACATGCAAACTACACCTGCTGGGTGAACTGGCATGAGGATGATTTTTCTTTTTCTTACCTGAGCTTGTACGATGTCATCCATCATGTCTGGATTAGAGGACAGATTCACAAGAACTTTTAACGCCTGAATCTGAAACACAAATATTAAAAAGTGATTAATAAAGTCACACAGAAGTTCACATCTATACTGCTCTAAACTATCTGACATATCAGAATCAGAATCAGAATCAGAATCAGAATCAGGGTTTATTGCCAAGTACATTTACACATACAAGGAATTTGACTTGGTGTATTGGTGCTAAACAATTAACAAGGAAATAAAACAGAACTAGCAACAACTTAAATAATACAGAATAAGAAGATATTACAATATATAAAATAGAATTTAAAAATGTAAAACATTTAAAATAATAATACTAACCTGTAATGCCTCGTTGCTAACAACAAGAAGAGACAGTAAAAGTGTGATGGAATCCTTCAGCAGATGTTGATGTTTTTCTGTGACTGAAAGGTTCGTCATCAGCCTGAGAGCTCCGAGCTGAAGGTCAGAATTCACCGGGGACATCTCAATCAGCTCCAGCACTTGTGGCACATAAACCTGTAAGACATAGTTCATTGAGTTTCAAACCAAAATATCAAACTCAAGAACTTATCGCATGCTATTTGCAGAACAGTGTACAGAAGCATACCTTTATTTGTTCCTGGTTCTGGATGTTCATACACAGATTATTTAAAGCATTCAGAGTCTGCACTCTAACCTCTGCAGCAGAGTCAGAGAGGAAGCCAGCTATGATGTGAATCCCTTCATACTCTCGGATGAGATTCTAGATTGTCAGCAAAAGAGAGGAAAATTATAACAATCTCAAAAGCAGACACAACTTCATATTTAAATTCTTTCTATTTAACAAAGAACAGAACAGAGTTGTTCTTACTGTTTTCCTGTACCTGATTCACAGTGAAGGCAGCAGCATTTCCTAAAGTTACGAGGATCCGACATCTGTCCGATGGCTTGGTGTTGGTCTGCAGACACGACAGCAGCATCTTCAAGTGCTGCGGGTCCAGGTTGTCAGGTGACTGGTGGATGATGTCACCTGTGTAACAGTATAAGCAGATCAAACAAACTTTAAATATTGTGTTTGCAAGTTTAAATAAGTCTCAGAGCTCCCCCAAACATTTCTGTTTCTTGCCAAATATCCACTCTGATCCTGTATTTGATCATGTCTATAAACCCCTCTATTTCAGCCCTGCTCAGAACAGGCTGTTTCTGTGTCTGTACCTTTAAATATGTAAATGAGCTGTCTGACCACGCCCCCTCTCTGGAAGGGCTCGGGTGTCTCAGTCTTTCTCGCTCCATGCCCTATTGTTTACGGTGAGAAGGCAGACTCAGAGGGCAGAACAAACACCTAGCTGTGGGAGTGTCACCCACCTGGGGGAGGGGCTACTGCCCTTTGTGATGTCATGAAGGGAAAATCTCCAAACAGCCTGTTTGAGCACACATTTTCTGAAAAGTGGAGCAGGCAGAAGATGGAGAGGATGGACTTTTCTCATTATTGATGGATTTGTAAACAGACTAGGGACGAATATTAGTATTCATAAAACATGGTAAAGTGTATTTTTGCACAACATGTGACCTTTAACTGAGTTGATCTGGTTCTATTATAGATAGAAATCTCCATGGCCTTGATCCATATACTTCTTGCCATTCAGCATCGTCAATAGAGATTCCCAAATCTCCCTCAAGGTTGCTTAGTGACCTGGGGAGGTTAAGGAGGGATTCAGATTAAGGGAGTTGTAAAATACACTAATGCGTTTCTTAGACATCCTTAAACACGGGACATGTTTCTAAATGTGAGATGACATTACTGCTAATCAATGAAGTGTCTAATGAAATGTCCGATTTGGAAATATCTAAGGCTTATATTGCTTCAGTAGTTGCTGAAATGACAAAAAAAGTGTGACCAGTAAATAATTCCCCCCGATCTTTGTTACCAGCTGGCTAAACCACGATTTAAAGCCCCGATCAAGAGAGAGTGATGGAATTAGACCAGAGGACCTGGAGTGAAGGTTAGTCACTAAAAATAAATTCCACAATGGGGCACCTGGATTAAAGGCTTTATATGTGATTTTTTTTGATCCAGCAGGTGTCGCCCTTGAGCACCAGCATGAAACCAAAACAACTCGCTGCATTGTTGTGTTAGCATGCTAATGCTAGTGATCTTTATTATGCTGGTATCTTCACACTGCATGTAAATTTACCTGAAATGAGCGTGATCTAGAAACACAGTTAAGCAGTGAGTACAGTATGTTATTCTTCTTTTCTCTAGTCCCTCAATTAAACAACTTTTATACACGAGGGGAGGAGTCAGCCGGCCGTCCCGGCGATGTAAACAAAGTGAAGATAGGACTCAGAAAACTCTGAAAACATCACAGACAGTGGGACTCGGGTGTTACACCCATTGTAGACAGTCATGACTCACAGAGTTATTTTCAGAGGATAGACTTGATTTATATTATATTTAAGTGTGAAAAATCACATAAAGACTTTAAGTGGCTTCAGTATCTAGCCAAATCGAAAGCGGGCTCACATTTTAACTCCAGTCTGTCATAACACAGAGATGGGCAGCCAACTGGTACAGGTCTCAAATTAGGTACATCTAAACCCCCCATCTGAGACACACAGTTGGGGTTTTGCCAGTTTCAGTCTTGCTCCAAATAAAAGAACTCAGCCAGACCTCAAGCATAATAATCTTGTTTGATAACAAAAATAGGAATCACATGCAGTAGATAAGAGTATTCTGGGAAGGAAGCGGTGGTGGTTCTAGACCACTTTTACTGAAGGGGCCAAACTGGGGCCAGTTGTTTTGTCAGAGAGGAACATTAAACCAGGTGAAAAATAAACAAAGACGATCGCTTTAAAAATATATATATATATATGTGTATGTATATATATATATTACGCCAAATACCGTAATAGCACACATCATTAAATACCATGATTTATATTTGTTTCAGTAACAGAATTGAAAACTAGATTGTGAGTCAAATACTGTTTATGTGTTATTAGGGGGGTTCTTCCTTTTGGAGGGGGGCCACAGGGGGGTCCAAGATCCATGTTACAGGGGCACTGGCCCCTGTTGGCCCCTGCCTAGAACCGCCCATTGAAGGAAGTTTATCTTAATGAGAGCAATCCTGCACAGAGGCAAAGGGGGCCCAGGGGTCCAAATCTGCTTTTCATCGCTTCTAATGGGGGGGGTTTGTCCTAAACATCTCCCCATCTGCAGGTGTAAAAAGAGTATCCATATAGTTTGACAACCCTTTGACAAAAGCTCTCCATGCTCTGTAAGAGATGTGAACATGTGGATATGGCCAACTTTAGATAGATAGATAGATAGATACTTTATTGATCCAGAGGGAAATTCAAAGCATCCAGTAGCAGGTTACAAAGACATGCCATGAAACATTTGTTACAAATTAACCACAAAACCAACGCCCCCGTCCCATACATATATTAACCTGAAAAAAAGATTTAAAGAATACCTCTAATCCAGGGATGGGCAACTTTGGTCACAGCAAGGGGCCACATTCATTTCATTCTCACTGCCAGAGGGCCAAATTGTAGGATACAAAAACGATTACAGTCAATTATGTCTCAAATTTAACTCAACATAAACCAGTGATCAAATATTATTATGGACATATTTCTGCTTTTCATGATTTCATGGCAGATTTCATCATGTTTACAATTAATTGATGTGTAAAAAATTAAGCTGAGGGGCCACGCTGAGGGTTGATGGGGGCCCCCAGTTGCCCACCCCTGCCCTAGACGAATCAAAACTTAAAACTGTGCAATTAAAAATAGACTTATACAAGAAATGTACCTAATCTCTGCAGGGATAAAAATATATGTGACATTTAAACAAGAACCTAAAAACAGTTGAGGGAGAAAAAAAATCTGTAATTAGACCTTTAAAAAGTATTCATACACTATAATTAGAAATAAATTATCCTGAGATATTAGTTTTAGTGAATCACATTAATGTAACATTAAGGTAAAGATGCATTATAGACGGTGTGAGCTCCATTGTTCCTACCTGATGCTACATCCGCAGGTCGGGGGCAGACGACGTCCAGTCCGGACACTTTGGCCAGCAGGCTGCCCGGCTTCGGGGTCAGGTCACCGGGGGAACTGCTCCACACACCGGGACTGTCACTGGGGACACTTTTCTTGTTCCTCTTGATGCTTACCTCGCTGATAAGTTTGTAAATCCCATAGGAAGCTCCAGCTCCGGCAACTAACCCGAGCAACGCTCTCATGTTGCCGATCCTCGGAGTGACACTTCCATCGCCCATGCTGCTGCAGCCTCGTTAGCTAAGCCCTGCTAACGCTAAGCTAACAAGCTAACCGCTTAACAACAGATGATGATTTCAGTCAAATCGTGTTACAGCAACAGCTAGCGGACCTGCTGGAGAAAGTAAACTAGCAGTGAAGACAGCCAATAGACAACACTACACAGCCCGAGCAGAGCAATTTTGGTGAACTCATTGTTGTGGGAACTGGAGAAGTTTGACAACAAGCCACAGTTGTCAACAGTGATGTTACTCTGCGGTGTGTTCCGGGGCTGCTCGGGTTGCCAGGTTGGACCGGAAAAAGTAACTCAGATAAATAAAACAGCCTCCTCACAAATGTAACACTAAATACTAAGCAGGCCTCCAGCTCAAACACAACAACACTGCAAGAAGCCTACACAACACAAATACATTATACCAGAGATAACAGATTAGATCACAGAAATATAATAAATTACTCATCATGACTGCCCCACAACTCTGTTTTTGCACATTTACATTTAATCTTTCATATTTAAGACTAGTAATGTTTAGTTAAATCCTGGTTGTATATATTCTCATTCTTAGTTTTGATATTTTTAGTGCTTATTTACTTTGTATTTAATATTATATTGTGTTTAAATTTGCTAACATTGTGTTTTTTACTCATATTGTGTGTTTGGACAACCTGCTGCTGTAAGGACACAATTTCCCAGTTTGGGATCAATAAAGTCATTCTATTCTATTCTATTCTATTCTATTCTTACAAGGTTTAAACATTTGTTCATTGCATATTTGAATTAACTTTGATTATATTCCTCTTATTTATATATTCTTTGATGAGTTTCCATGGTCCATCTAGGTCATCATTATAAAGCCCCTGCAGGGCTCGAGGGGTGTCAGCCCTATGTTCCCATATTTCTAAGATTTTTCTCAAAATTAGGGTTAGGGTTGGGAGAAAGGGTGATAAAATCTGATACAAATTTATGAAAAAGGAAATGTGGGAACATGGGCACACTCCCGGCTGAGGCTGCAGGGGCTTTATAAGGCATTTCATTGTAAATGTAGTAAAACAATATAATTTCCAATGAACCAATAGACCTATTAAAAACATATTTTACATAATTGTACAAACTTCTCTTCTGAATAAGCTTTGACAAATTTTCCATCATAGCTGTGACAGAAAAATTACTGAAATATGCCGACCTGGCAACACTACAGGTAGGCAAAACCTTAAAGTGGGTGATTGCACCAAAGCTTTTGTCACACAATATCAGCTCTCAGTAAATGAATACTTCAAACATTTTAGTAACTATAAAATGTGGGGTTCCAAAAGTGGCCAAAATAGTTCATGTATTTATTGTTTGTCTATTAAACTCCTGACTTTAGGGGCGTAATTAGGAAATTCTGGACCCTATGATGTAACTGTTACCCCCACATTTACACAAAGCCCAAGCCGACCTTTTTTTTGTTTTAGCTCTGGCCAAAGCAAACCCCAAAACAATTAATCCTTTACATTTGACATCACAAACGGAACTGCCCACCTGACTGGCAAGAATGCTTCCTACCGCTGCACAACACAGAAGAAGCCTGGGGTATACCTCTGCTTTGAATGTTCTGTAGCTATGCCATACGCCTACATGCATGTGCCAAATCTGGACACTTTAATTTTACTACCAACCTATATGTGTAGATTCACAGATTAGTGACACAAAGGGCAAAGGTGCCCTCCTGAGCAGCTTGCCTTTGCGTCATTGAAGTAGATCATAACAGTGCTACTTCCAGCCTGTACCCTCTATTTGTGTTTGCTTCTTTTAATCATAGACTATAAATATTAATGGCCTGAGTGACATCACCTATCTGTTACGGCAGGGGGCTCTGGAGGCTCATGGGCAGCAGCTGCCTTGCTGGAAAATCTGTCTCAGCCTAACTTTCAGTCAATTTAATGACAGGCTGAGAGCTGGAGCTGAGACAGGTTTTAAGCCTCCTGATGAACAGCGTCACCACGTCCACCTGTCCACCTGTCCACCTGTCCACCTGTCCGTCAGGTCAGCCTCCTGCCTAACTATTCTAACTCGCATCGGTCATAAAATCAAAACGAATGCATTATTGAAAAAAATCACCCCTCTTCAGTGTTTGCCCATGAAGACAATCATTAATCAAACTAATATCGTTTTTGTACCGGGCCGTAGACATGTTAAAATGTTTGAATGGGGTGTGTGTGTGACTTCTACGGAAGAGGATTAGGGCCACTGAAAAAAACAAAAAAGGTTCTGATCAGAACCAAATTTTTTTTTCAGTGGCCCTAATCCTCTTCCGTAGACTTTCGGGGCTCTTGGAGCCAGACACATTTTTCAACATTAGAGGTTGCTGCCTGGTTTTAATAAGGGCTTTGTATTATTGGCAATTTCACCATAGGCAAATGAAAATGGACACTTGCAGTGTCTACAAAACGTTGATTATACTGTTGTGTCCTGTCTTGCTATACTGCAGAATTTGGAAAATAGCTGATACCGGAAATGTTGTAAATGCAGGAAAAACGATGCTACACGCGGTCACAGGGCTTGCGGTTCGGTTGAATCAACGAGTTATGGGAAAAAGAAAGAAAAAAAAAAGCCAATGCTGAAGTGACACATCCTGCAGTTCGTCTAATTTGTCAGCTTGAAGCTATCTGCAGAAGCTCCGGAAGTCACATACACACCACATTCAAAAAAGCTCACTGGGGGACGGAGCTACAGTTAGTTTACAGCAGAAATTAACATGTTTTAAGTCTGGTTCAAAAAACAAGTGACATCACGCCATTCAGGCTTTTATTATTATTAAAAATCAGAATCTAACGTCACCTCAATGTCAGGTTTTGACATCAGCCCCACTTTAGAATCTGACATCAACCTGTTGCCAGCTCAACAGCTTTTTTTCTTATGTCAGCCAAAGTCAGATATTAATGTCTGCTAAATGTTGGGCTCTGATGTTAGATTAACGTAAGGTTTTGGTGTCAGCCCAATACTGGGATCTGATGTCAGCCCAACATCAGGTTTTGCCATCAACCCAATGTCGGATTTTCACGTCAGCTCAATTTTGTAATGAGTCAGATTGTGACATCAGCTCAGTGTCAGGTTTGACATCAGCACAATGTGGGAACCTGAAGTCAGTACGACGTCATTTTTGTTGTCAGTCTAACCATCAGGATCTGATGTCAGCTCAACTTCAGGTTTTCAGATCATCTTTGACACAATTGAGTGTAATTGTTTATGCACTAAGCTATTGGTTTAGCCATCCTAAGGGGACTGTTAGAGTAAAATGTATTGTAATATATTGCAACGAGAACTATAAAGTAGATTTTCAATATAATCTGCATCTGTCTTGTTTTTTTTTTAACAATTATAACATTTTACACATCAATACATTTTTAGGAAAATATTGAGAAGCACACATTTTATTATAGCTGTACTAAAATAGACTGCTTTATATAACTTGTCTCTAATTTACAAAAGTACAGTTTATTTTAAAATGTAATTTACAAATTCAGCCATACAGTTGAATAAACTGATAAGTAATACAAATATCCCCTATAAGAAATGTTCTTCAGGTCATCTTTTATAGTCTACATGTATTTTTATATTGACATTAATGACTCACCAGATATCCCCTAATCAGATTTAGCCACACTTGTCTTGACCCTTAATCTGGAACAGTCCTCAAAGTGGACTGTTCCAGTTTCAGCTCCAACCCTTAACACTTTGCTGCATGCAATTCCCCACTCTCTCCTCATCCCAGTTACAGACTCTATCCACTGTCCTCTTTCTACAGTAAATCATAAAAGTCCCCAAAAAACCTGAAAGACTCAATTTAAAGTATCGCCTTAAAAAAAAAAAAAAAAAAGAAACTACCATTTTTGGTATTTTTTTTAACCAGAGTTTTAAAATTGCACTATTTCACTAACAACACGTGTGTCACAGCATTGATTTTAAATTCTACACAAAGAATACAAATTTGCTGCTTGTAGTTGTCCTTCGTGCAGTACAATTTATTTTCTGCTTTTTTATCTATAATCATTTTTCAAATTGGTTATAAATTAAACTTAACAGGCAAAATCTGACAAAGGCTTGAACAAGCTAGATACAAAATACTAGTTTCCTTCCTGACTTTCCCAATCACATGCCACTCTTCAGACTGGTAGTAGAGTAGACCAACTAGTTTTGTCCTTCCTCAAGACGAACACATGATGGCTCTCTTTCTCAAGTTTTCTAAGTTTAGAGCGCGACCGTCCTGAAGGTCTAAATGTAAAGGAGCAAAGATTCAAAAACTCTGGAGAAAAGTCTAACATGTCGTCCACTTCCATTAGTGACTCTGAAATATAAGTCAATGTAAGCTTGTTTATTAAAAAACAAAAAACAAACTAGAAATTGTTCATAGTATATTACCACTTTGGGTTTGTTGTTGCATCATGATCTCTAACTGTACTCGGATATTAAAGCTAGTTTACTCCTCTTTTAGCATCACCAAAAGAATTAGGCTTTAGAACGGTAAGAAAACATGATCTCTATCAACTTATGTTTTGATTTATAAATAATATTTCAAGCTCTGAGTGGTGGCCATTACAGGCACATTTAAAGGCTTTATACGAGATTTTTTTGATCCAGCAGATGTCGCCCTTGAGCACCAGCATGAAACCAAAACAACTGGCGCTGCATTGTTGTGTTAGCATGCTAATGCTAGTGATCTTTATTATGCTGGTATCTTCACACTGCATGTAAATTTACCTGAAATGAGCGTGATCTAGAAACACAGTTAAGCAGTGAGTACAGTATGTTATTCTTCTTTTCTCTAGTCCCTCAATTAAACAACTTTTATACACGAGGGGAGGAGTCAGCCGGCCGTCCGGGCGATGTAAACAAAGTGAAGATAGGACTCTGAAAACTCTGAAAACATCACAGACAGTGGGACTCGGGTGTTACACCCATTGTAGACAGTCATGACTCACAGAGTTATTTTCAGAGGATATACTTGATTTCTATTATATTTAAGAGTGAAACATCACATATAAAGACTTTAAAACAGTACATGTTTTTGCATGTATTACATTTGCTACTGATAGAATTCTCCACTTCATCAACTTGTGTGACTGATGACTCAGTCTCTCTGGACACGTGGGTTGGCCCTATTTTATTTGTGTGGGCTGCTGCAACAACATGCTCCAGTCAGAGCGCTGCGGTCAACACACATGCTCTTGGATTTTCTCAGTTGCAGCCTTATTACAACCAGCCTTCACGTTGGCGGCTCCAAATCTGTTAGT